CTGTGGATTCTGCTTCAGGCTCCTGCTTGGGTTCCTGCCTGACTTCCCTCACTGATTTGACTGTGGCCTGGAAGTATAACAGGAATTTTTCTTTCCCTGAATTGCTTTTTGATAGGATGTTTATCATAACAGTAGGATATAACTAGAACAGGACTATTGAGTGTCTTTAAGGTAGTAGAAAGATAATACAATTTGCGTGTGCATGTAGTCACGCTCACTTGAGTACACCTTAATCGTCAGCCTCAGGCATCATTCCTTAGTGGCCATCCATCTTACTTTTTTAGAGATGGTCTTAGTCTTTTTTTTTTTGTTTTTTGTTTTGTTTTTCTTTTTTTTTATTTTATTTATTTATTATGTATATAATCTTCTGCCTGCATGCCAGCAGAGGGCATCAGAGCTCATTCAAGGTGGTTGTGAGCCACCATGTGGTTGCCGGTAATTGAACTCAGGACCTTTGGAAGAACAGTCAGTGCTCTTAACCGCTGAGCCATCTCTCCAGCCCGTTTTGTTTGTTTTTCAAGACAGGGTTTCTCTGTATTGTTTTGGAGGCTGTCCTGGAACTTGCTCTGTAGACCAGGCTGGCCTCGAACTCACAGAGACCCACCTGCCTCTGCCTCCCAAGTGCTGGGATTAAAGGCCTGCGCCACCACCACCACCACCTGGCTTGTTTTGTTTTTTTTAAACTGGAGATTGAACCTTAGGGTGCAGATATCCTTCCACTTGAATTTAGGATCTTTCTCCTCTAGCCTCCAGAGAAATTGAGATTACAGCCTGTCAACAGAGCCTTGCTTTTAAGACAGGGTCTCTTGCATTCAGGTTGACCTCAGCATGTTTTTGTTAGAGATGTTTCCATGTATAGACCTGTCTGACCTGAGCTCCAATCTGCCTCAGCCTCCAGAGTACCTTCAGGATAATACCTAGGAAAAACTAGGGATGTTTTGTTGTTTTGCCATCTCTTTGTACTATTCTTAACAGATGGGAAAATAAAATGGTTATACTGACTCCTGACTTTTTTATTGCATTATAACTCAATGTTCTAATGAAATATAGAGTTTAGTAACATTATCTGTTTTTCCCCACTAGGATTCCATATGGCCCTCATATCATTCCTTTCCATGTTTGTCGAGATTTGGATACTGCCAAAACCTGTGTTTGTGGAAGATTGTGTCTGGAGTCTTTCATTCAAGGAACTACTACAATTAATCTGCACTCCATTGCCCACACCGTGGTCTTAGTAGATAATGTGGATAGAATGGAAGCTCCTATTATCTCTTACTTTTGTTCTCTAACTTGTTATGTAAATTCCTCTGATATGTTAAAATAATTAGTGGTATAAAAGAAAGTTCCTTAGATGTAGATGGTTGAGTATTTGTGATTTAAAGCTTTTTGTATGTTTGCACGGGGAAGAATATGTATATTAGCATTTTCAACCATTTGACTCTGGAATTTAATTAAAGCTGAACTTAATTTTTTGGAGTGGATCAATAATCAGCAGTTAAGAGCACATACCCAGCTGGGCAGTGGTGATGCACGCCTGTAGTCCCAGCCTCAGCACTCTAGGAGGTAAGAGAGGCAGATTTCTGTCAGTTCAAATTCAGCCTGGTCTAAGACTTCCGAGACAGGCTCCAAAGCTACAGAGAATCACTGTCTCAAAAACAACACATACCCTCTTGCAGAGGACTGGCATTCTGTTCCCAGCATTCATATTATGGCTCACAACTGTGTGTATTCTAGTTCCAGGGAATTCAATGCCCTCTTCTGACCTCCAGAAGTTTAGAGGAAGACTATTGGAAACAATCCTGCATAGTATCAGCACGTTGCTGTATGGTTTGGGAAAGAATTTCTACATCAGTGGTTCTCAACACATGGGTGGTGACCCCCTGGGGTTGCGTATCAGATACTTGCATTATGGTTCACAGCAATAGTAAAACTGCAGTTATCAAGTAGCAATGAAATTTTATGGTTGAGTCGACAAAAGGAGGAACTATATTAAAGAATCAAAGACTTTGGAAGGTTGAGTACCACTGCTCTAGTCTAAGTGATTCATTTTATAATTTTCTCATTTGAGCAGTGGTGGGGCACACCTTTTAATCCCAGCACTCTAGAAGCAAAGGCAGTTCGAGACCAGCCTGGTCTACAAGATCGAGTTCCAGGACAGCCTCCAAAGCCACAGAGAAACCCCATCTCAAAAAAAAAAAAACCAAAAATTCCCTTTTCTCACTTGAAGCTATTTTCCTTTTCTAGATTCAAACATAGGACACTTTTATTAGAACTCTATTCAAGGAGGATACAGGGGGCAGGCATGGTGGCACACTTTAAAGGAAGCAGAGGGGGGTATGACTGAGTTTGAGGCCTACCTGATGTGTTTCCAGCAGAGCTACAGACCCTGTTAATTTTTTAAGTAATGAGGGTATGGGTTGGTAGCAGAGCACTTGCCTAATATATGCAAGGCCTTAGGTTTGACACCTGGCACCACTACCAGTTAAAAAAGCTTTGAGATACATTGAATCAGAGTATTTTATTCAAATGGGTATCTTGCTTGCATGTGTGTCTGTGCATGCATGTCTGGTGTCAGCAGGTGTTGGATCCTCTGTAACTAGATACAACTGTGAGCCACCGTATGGATTCTAGGAGTCCAATCTGTTTTACAAGCAGGCAGGGCTTAGCTACTGAGCCATAATTGTATCCCCCACCCCCAGTAATTCAGAATTTTATTCTTAGTTATTAACTTCCACTAAGGTAAGTTTCTGAATGAGTTACTTAACACATCACTGCCAGTCAACCATAGTCAACAAGTCTGAAACATAACTAAAACAAGTATTAGCCTGGCAAGCCATTCTGAGAACGACAAAATCTTTACCACCTGTTCTGGGAAATGAATTGCATATCCACAATGTATGTTTTCAGCAGTCATTGGAATTACCTCTAACTTCTTATGGGGCAGATGGAGTGCATGCCTAACCTACCATGCAGGAAGCCATGGGTTCAATCCAACGGAGCACCACAAACGGTACGGTGCAATTCTGTAATCCTAGTACCCTTAGGTAGAGACAGACCATCACTAAACACCACATTTGAAAACAAAAGCAGCCGGGCGTTGGTGGCGCACGCCTTTAATCCCAGCACTCGGGAGGCAGATCTCTTGTGAGTTCGAGACCAGCCTGGTCTACAAAGTGAGTTCCAGGACAACCTCCAAAGCCACAGAAAAAAAAAAAAAAAAAAAAGCAAAAAACCCTAAATATGCAATTGCACTTAGAATCAAATGGCACAAGGCTTAGGTATCAGAAACAATAACTTTTATTTTCTGACAGGTCATCTTCCTCTCTGAAGACACAGGCTTTAGAACTGGATCACTTGGCCCTTTCTCTTCTTGTCTCCTCCCAGTTCAAAGTGCTTGCACCTCTTAATGGCCAGCATCCTCTTGGATCTGCAGTTGGGCTCCACACACTCAAGCCTCAGCACAATCTTCTTTGTGGTTTTGGCCTTCTTTCGGAAAATCGGCTTTGTCTGCCCACCGTAACCACTCTGCTTCCGATCGTAGCGCCGCTTTCCTTGGGCATACAGGGAATCCTTGCCCTTCTTATACTGGGTCACCTTGTGAGGCTGATGCTTGCCACATTTCTTACAGAAAGTCCTTCGGGTTTTAGGCACGTTGACCATCTTTGCAGTGGAGGTGTCTACGCGATGAAAACTGTAAAAAAGTTTCAGACACTGATTTTACACTGTTGAAGTTTTTGTTGTTGTTTTGGTTTTTCGAGACAGGGTTTCTCGGTATTGTTTTGGAGACTGTCCTGGAACTAGCTCTGTAGACCAGGCTGGCCTCGAACTCACAGAGATCCCCCTGCCTCTGCCTCCCGAGTGCTGGGATTAAAGGCGTGCGCCACCAACGCCCGGCTTACACTGTTGAAGTTTTAAAGATACAAGTTTTAGTAATCAAAAATGTGTAAACATGCCGGATGGTGGTGCGCACGCCTTTAGTACTGGCGCTCGAGAGACAGACTGGTCTACAGAGCCAAGACAGGCAGGGTCTAAAGCTACAGTGAAACCGTCTCGAAAAACCAAAAGAAAAAAGCGTAAACCCACTCATTACTCATTTTCCACATGAATAAACGGCAGTGCACGTGCACACCAGTTTGAGTGCCTCAAACACTGGGCTGAACATGCAGCTTAAGCATCCATCCTAGGTTCAATCCCCACCACTGCAAGCCTACAGAAAAACTGTGGCTTTTGAGACATAAACTACCTGTTACAAAAACAGACCTCACACATGTTCCGCGAGGCTGTCTCCAAGCAAACAAAAAAAAAAAGGCAACGACACGAGTAGCTAACACAGTTCTCTGTCCTAGACAGAGCTCCATTCACCAAGGCTCGTCGCAAGGAGATTGTGGCGGCGTCCGAGGAGAAGCCAGCTTCCCTCGGACTCCATTTTCTAGCTCGTGGCTGTCTGTGACTGGCGCAGGACGGGGTGCAGTAGTCCCTGCTACGGCCCGCCTTGTCCTTCCTTCCGAACCTCGTCGGGTTTACCCCTTTGCCCCTCTAGAGCACCGTCACCGGCCAGCGGCCCCGAAGGCTGACGTGTCGTTGTCGGCCTGCGCGCGCCGTGCGGCCCAGCTAGCCGCCATGCTGGAGCGCCGCCTCGGGGCAGGGGGCCGCAGGATGCCGACCTCAGCCGCGCCGGGCCGCATCTGCCCCCCTCCCCGCTCCTCAACGAGCCCGGCCTCCCCGCAGCCGCGGCCCCAGAGCCGCCGCTCAGCACCACACTTACCGAGAGACGCGGCGTCCGGGATCGGCGCCTCCACCGCACGAGCCGAACAGGAAAGGGCCGAGCGGAGCGGAAGTCGGAACTGAACCTGAGCGACGGGGCCACGAGCCAATAGGCAGCGGTGTCGCGCGGAGAGCCGCCCCCGGCCGCTTCTGGGAAAGGCCAACCAACGGCCGGCGGGGCGGGGTGGAGGGTGTGGGCCGGAGGGCCCGGGCGCTCGCAGGCCAGTCGCGGCTTGTCAGAACGGTCGCCGCCGGAGCGGGGCGAGGCTGCGGCGCTCGGTGCCGCCGTTCGGCCGGGAGAGCAAGGATGAGAGCGCAGAGGACGCGGGGCCACGAGCGACGCAGGTAACGGAGCCGGGCTGCGGCGGCCGCGGCTGGCTTTCTTCCGGGATCCGGGGCGCTGAATGGGGAGCACCGAGGCGACGCTGAGCCGCGCCTCGTAGCGGCGGGGCGGCTGCTCGAGCTGCAACTGCCAGAGACGATGTGCGGAGCCCGGGCGGCGCGAGGCAGTTGAGAGCCTTCGGGCCCCAGGACGCCGGGGCCCGGGATGAGTTAGCGAGGGTCACCGCGGGGGCCGGTTCCTAGGGCTACAGGCCAAGGCGACGGCGCCGCCCGCCCGCCCCTTCCGTGCAGAGGCCGCCAGCTCCTTGCCGCGCCCGCGCTCCCGGCCCCGGAGACCATGAGGTTCCGCATCTACAAACGGAAGGTGCTGATCCTGACGCTCGTGGTGGCCGCCTGCGGCTTCGTCCTCTGGAGCAGCAATGGGCGACAAAGGAAGAACGACGGCCTCGCCCCGCCGCTGCTGGACGCGGAGCCCCCGCGGGGTGCGGGCCATCTCGCCGTGTCCGTAGGCATCCGCAGGGTCTCCAACGACTCGGCGGCTCCTCTGGTTCCCGCGGCCCCGCGGCCCGAGGTGGACAACCTAACGCTGCGGTACCGGTCCCTGGTGTACCAGCTGAACTTTGATCAGATGCTGAGGAATGCCGATAATGACGGCACCTGGAGCCCCGGGGAGCTGGTGCTGGTGGTCCAGGTGCATAACCGGCCGGAATACCTCAGGCTGCTGCTCGACTCGCTTCGGAAAGCCCAGGGCATTGATGAAGTCCTCGTCATCTTTAGCCATGACTTCTGGTCCGCAGAGATCAACCATATGATAGCCAGCGTGGATTTCTGCCCGGTTCTTCAAGTGTTCTTTCCGTTCAGCATTCAGCTGTACCCGAATGAGTTTCCGGGTAGTGACCCCAGAGACTGCCCTAGAGACCTAAAGAAGAACGCAGCTGTGAAGTTGGGGTGCATCAATGCCGAGTACCCCGACTCCTTCGGCCATTACAGAGAGGCCAAGTTCTCACAAACCAAACATCATTGGTGGTGGAAGCTGCATTTTGTATGGGAGAGAGTCAGAGTTCTTCAAGATTACACTGGCCTTATTCTTTTCCTGGAAGAGGACCACTACTTAGCCCCAGACTTTTACCATGTCTTCAAAAAGATGTGGAAGTTGAAGCAGCAGGAGTGTCCTGGGTGTGATGTCCTCTCCCTGGGGACCTACACTACCAGTCGGAGTTTCTATGGCATTGCTAACAAGGTAGATGTGAAAACTTGGAAATCCACAGAGCACAATATGGGCTTAGCCTTGACCCGAGATGCCTACCAGAAGTTGATCGAGTGCACAGACACTTTCTGTACTTACGATGATTATAACTGGGACTGGACTCTTCAATATTTGACTGTATCTTGTCTTCCTAAATTCTGGAAAGTCTTAGTTCCTCAAGCTCCGAGGATTTTTCATGCTGGAGACTGTGGTATGCATCACAAGAAAACATGCAGGCCATCCACCCAGAGTGCCCAGATCGAGTCATTCTTAAATAATAACCAACAGTACATGTTTCCAGAAACTCTAGTTATCAGTGAGAAGTTTTCTATGGCAGCCATTTCTCCACCTAGGAAAAATGGAGGGTGGGGAGATATTAGGGACCATGAACTGTGTAAAAGTTATAGAAGACTACAGTGAAAAACAAATCACAATTGCAAAAATGACAGTCTTCTGTTTTTTATAGTTCTTTCAATGGGATATACAATTGAATAAAGGGTATAGGAACTGGTTTCTGCTTTAATACACAGATTTCTTGTAAAAGGTGTCCAAATATATAGTAATCCTATTCAGTTATGTCTGATTAAAATTTCAAACTGAAATTTCCATTTTGGGTCTTGGGTTTTAAAATTCAGTCTATCTGCTTAAGGGTAATTATTAGATTATTATTGATTAAAAATGTTATTTAAGTCACATCTGTTAACCTTTCTATCTAAAACTTTGTATACTTTTCCACTTTCAGAACTTATTTTAAGTATAGCAAGACTTATTTAAAACTGACACAACAGTAAAAAGTATTACAATGAGACTATTAAGAGTATTGCTGGAACAAACCCAGAGTCACTATTGACTTTTATTTGGAGGAATTGTCTGACCGGTTTAATCACTCAGAAGTTCTGTTTGTTAAACACCCTGTCAGAAGAGTCATTTCAGTATTACTGATTCCTGTGCTATTGTGTTAAGATTTGCCTGTGCTTTCAGCCTTCATATTACTTGATTTATGTTGGAATGTATTTGGTTAATAAGAAAGTTTAAACACTGTTTTCACCTCAATATAGAAATACAGTGGTTTTGATTTTTTTTTATTTTTAGTGCTGCCAAAATAAAATACTCATTTTTTTCATAAAGAGTTCCCTAATCATTTTGCAAAATGTTGTCTTTGTACCAATAAAAGGCATTCTAGAAGTTTTGAGCATGAGCATCATATTTTAATATTTACTAGCTATACATTGTGTGAGTTTAAAATGACGCTGGCTCATGACAGTGCATTCTCTTAGGAAGAAATAGTTTGGCTTTCAAATTAGCCAGGCATAGATAATGAACAGTAAGAAAAGCTGCTGCATAAGGGAAATGCTGCCTGAATTGTTTCTGAAGGCCAGAAATGATACAAAGTCAGTCTTGCCAAGGTGCCGCAGGTCTGTGCCAGCTGTGCCTGAGATGCTTTTAAAAAGAACAGACACAGTAGTAGGAAACAAGCTTTATATCACTCATTTTGTATTACTTTTCCATAATATAATTGTATTCAGCCAAAAGTTACAGAGGTCATTTCTGTGTAAAGATGACATTTACCACAGTCTCAAAGTTCATTGTTGAGACTGTTTGAGACAAAGTTCATTGTTCATCAGTTTCACACTGGAAACTGATGTGTGTGCTGTTCAAGCATAGTCATCTGGTTTTGGTTTTTTTTTGGGGGGGTGGGGTTCAAAGTCCTCTAGTTTTCTATTACCTTCACATCTCAGTCTGGCACTGTGTTGACTATTTAAATGTTTACCACATTTGTAACTGTACATGTATGGGTGTACACGTGTGTGTCCGTGGTGCATGCTGAAGGTCAGAGGGTGTTGACCCCAGGGTCAGGACTCCAGGCATTTAGCAGGAACTTTTACCCACTAAGGCTGTCTTTGTGTGCTTGCTTGTTTACAGATTGGTGTGTGTCCATAGCTCTGGCTAGCTTGTATTTGTAACTCTCCCAGTTCTGCCTGTAACTGGAATTACTGCAGAACCTCATGCTTGCGAAGCTGGAGCATACCTCAGGGAATAAATAATCTAAGTACCCAGTACATAGTGCTACAGTTGTATAGGGAGAAATGTGATCCCCTAACGTGCTATCACCAGTTCAAAGGACTAAAGGAAGTAGGTGTTTCCTGGAGTGTTCAAAGGCTACTAGTAATTAGTAGCCTTGTCTGACACAAATACTTAGTTCATGCCCTTGGGGCTAGTGATGACATCAACAGAGATTTTCTTTTATGTTCTCTTTCATATTTTCTGAAATATTTTGAGGGGGGAAACTGAGGGTTTCTTCTACTACATTTTTGTTGTCTGCTTTTTGAGACAGGGTTTCTCTGCGTAGCTTTGGAGCCTGTCCTGGAACGCTCTGTAGACCAGGCTGGGCTCGAACTCGCAGAGATCTGCCTGCCTCTGCCTCTTAAGCACTGGGATTAAAGGTGTGCACCACCACTCCTGGCTCCTATATCACATTTTAAAGAGTTACAAAGATTGCAAAATAATGGTTTTTTTGTGTAAAATAATTTTCCTGTCAGAACAAATGGCTGGATTTTTTTTTTAAGTCATTTTTATGTGTGTGGGTATTTTGTCTGCTTGTGTACCACCTGTGGGGACCATTGGATCCTCTGGGATTAGAGTTACAGATGATTGTTAGCTGCCATGTGGGTGCTAGAAATTGAACTAAGGTCCTCTGGAAGTGCAATCAGTGCTCTTAATCACTGAGCTGTCTCTTCAGCCTCTCTAAAAACTTTAAATGTGTTCTTTAAAACCAAAAGATGGTTTTAATACATTAGCATCCAAGAAATCACTTAAAGTTGACTTTGAAAATGATTGTTTATAAATTTCTAAGTTTCTCTCTGTGTTGTTTTGCCTGCTTGTATATATATTCATGTGTGCCTGGTATCCAGAAGTAGAATAGGGCATCAGATCCTGTAAACCTGGGGTTAGGATGGTTGTGAGCTCTAATATATGGGGTAGGAATCAAACTTTTGCCCTCTGCAAGAGCAAGTGCTCCAAACTGCTCCAAATTTCCCCAACTTCCAAAGAATTACCTTCATTAAGAGAAAAACAATTGTTTTGAGGCAGGTTCTCTCTGTAGCTCTAGCTGTCCTGAGGCACACCTTGTCCACTAACCTCCATATTCATGATGTGGCTGGTATGTCCCCCCCACTCCCCCCACTCCCGAGGCAAAATAAAATAAATGTGGGTTTTTGTTTATTATGTATACAGTGCAGGCCAGAAGTGGGCATCAGATCTCATTAATGATTGTAAGCCACTTTGTGGTTGCTGGGGATTGAACTCAAGATGTTTGGAAGAGTAGCCAGTGCTCTTGACCCCTGAGACATCTCTCCAGCCCATTTTTTGTTTAACTGTTTTACTCTCCTTAAGAAAAACATGTCTATTAGAAAAATTACAAAGCATATCTCTGTAAGTAAGGAAATTGAGCGTTTCTCTTCTGGAACTCATTTTATAGAACAGCTTGGCCTCAACTTATAGACTATCTCTGCTGAGATTAAAGGTATGCACCTCTGCCTGGCAGTTTTGTTTTGAAGACAGGATCTCACGTATGGCATGTATGTAGCTGAGCCTGACCTGAACTGGCCATGTCTCTCTCCAGTGCTACCAGTTGGGATTACAGGTACCTCCTGGCTGCTAGCTTCCCCACCAGCATCACTTCATTGTTTATTTATGCATCTTTAAGTAGCCATTTTTTTGTTTTTGAGACAGAATTTCGCTGTATAGCCCTAGCTGTCCTGGAAGTCACTCTGTGAGCCAGGTTGACCTTGAACTCACAGAGATTTGCCTGCTTCTGCCTGTTTTATAGTTGAAAACATAAAGAAGCTATTTTAGGTCCCCAATTTTTATTACTTAACATTTAAACTTCAAAATTACATACAATTAATCCAAGTCATACAGCAAAGAGTTCTGAAAACTGAATGCACAATGAGTTGTGTGATCTTTAATAATCTGCACACTACCATCCTGCATATTGGTTTCTTGGATGCTCTCAAAGTCATCTATGTTTTGAACTACCGTTTTGTCCAGTAATGAAGACAGGTGATCTCCATCTAATTCCTTTTCCTTAGTTATGACTGGCTCTTTTACATTTTCCTTTTCCTCTGCTGAGGAGGTTGCACTGTTTTCTTTTATAAACTCGGGGTCCGTTGTTGCCTTCGGTTGCTGAGGTTTTCTAGACAGCATGTGAGGAAGATCAGAACAAATGTGTTGAGGGCCCACAGCTGAGCCACAAGTGTTTGTTTTTAGTGCTTCAACTGCAACAGATGAATCGGGGTCAGCGGTAGAGGTGGTAAAATGTTCTGTCTCTCCCTGTTCACTTAGTGGACATTCTTCACTGACTCCTTTTTCCTCTCCTTGAAGCCCACTACACTCTTGCAACTGTATCAAGAGAAATAACAGAGTTAGTAATTTGAAGTAACAGAAATTGAATCATTGTACTCTCTGAAATCATTAAAAATTTTTTTTTATTTTGTGTATGTATATGTGTTCATGCATGATACAGCACATACAAAGAGGTCAGGGAACAACTTGTAGGAGTTGGTTCTCACCTTCCCTGCTACACACACACAATAAAAGCACTCACTGCCAAGCTTGAGGACTTTGCTCCCAGCATCTATGTCATAGAAGTAAGAACCAACTCCTACAAGTTGTTCCCTGACCTCTTTGTATCATTCTCACCTTCTGTAACATAGATGCTGAGAGCAAAGTCCTCCAGCTTGGCAGTGAGTGCCTTTATTGTGTGTGTGTAGCAGGGAAGGTGTATACTGCTTCATATAATAGTTTCCTTGGATTAGCTAACAAACTAACAAGCTAAACTGTCGCACTCAATTGTCTTTGGTGTATTTTTTTTTTAGCAGTAAGGCCATGATAAGCATCTCTTTGAGATGTGTGAGTTTTAAAATGATTTGATGTGGTGTTTCTCTAAATAATATCCAGAATAAACAATTTTGTGGGACTGCAGAGACGGCTCAAGGTTAAGAGCACTGGCTGCAATTCCAGAGGAGCTGGATTAATTCCCAGCACCCACACCACAGCTCACAGCTGTGTAACTCCAGCTCCAGGGGATCAGACATACTCATACAGACAAAACAGCAATGCACATAAATAAATCTTTTTTTCCTTTGGTTTTTCGAGATAGCATTTCTCTGTGTAACAGCCCTGGCTATCCTAGAACTCACTCTGTAAACCAAGATGGCCTTGAACTCACAGACATCCACCTGCCTCTGCCTCCCAAGTGCTGGAATTAAAGGTATGTGCAACCACTGCAGGCTAAACATAAATCTTAAAACCAAAACAAAATAGAAAAACCAAGATTTTGGATTTCAAGAAACAGCAAGACAAATTGCTAAATTTGTCTAAGTGTAAAATTCTGAATCCAAGGTTCACTGTTCAACTGTTTAGTAGGACATTAAATTTTTCTGACTTTTTTTTTTTTGGTTTTTCGAGACAGGGTTTCTCTGTGTAGCTTTGGAGACTGTCTTGGAACTAGCTCTGTAGACCAGGCTGGCTTCTTTTTCTGACTTTTTATCCCTTGTTAACTACAGTAAAATGAACACTTTTTAAAAATAATGAGAATAAAGAGTGGAGTTTTTAATCACACAGTAAACAAGTAGACAAGTCTTACTATCAGCTGGACATGGTGGTAATGCCTTTAATCCCAGCACTCAGGAGGCAGAGGCAGGCCTGGTCTACATAGTGAGTTCCAGTACAGCCAAGGCACAAACCCTGATTAGGAAAACTAAAAATATTTTTTTTCAAGAATTGAAGTCACTTTACATAATCTTGCCATTAGTCACTCTCCTTTAAGCCCCACTGAAATATTACCTTTGTATGAATCTGAATCTTCTCATCTGTAACCCGAAGAACTTCAATCAATGGTGGGGGGGCTAGGGACCTTTCCTGTGTCGATGGGGAGTGCAGAACCTCTTCAAGAAACTCATTAACGTTTTCTTCATCGAGAAACAATCTTTCCTAAAGTAGAAAGAGAAAAAAATACTCTTATTTTACAGGTCATCGTAAGAGTTCATTGTTTTTACAGCGTTTTTGTTGTTGTTGGTTTTTTTTGGTTTTTCGAGACAGGGTTTCTGTGTATTGTTTTGGAGCCTGTCCTGGAACTCGATCTGTAGATCAGGCTGGCCTCGAACTCGCAGAGATCTACCTGCCTATCTCCCCAGTGCTGGGATCAAAGGCGTGAGCCACCAATGCCCGGCTTTTGTTTTTACAGTTTTTAAAGTGTTTATTTCAGCAACCCTAAGTGCTATTTTGAAAAGAACTCTAGTATTGTTCAGAATATAATATGAAAAACATATTATATTCATGAGATCCACCTAAAAACAGAAAGATAAAAAGAAGTCTTGATGCTTTTTTCTAAGGGGTGTGTGCTTTCCCTACCAAGATTATCTTACTTACAAACTGTATTTTATTTTTTCCAAATATATGATGTCTGAGGTAGCCCAAGCTGACCTCCGTGCACCTACAGGTGACCTTGAACTTCTGATCCCCCTGCTTCCACCTTCTAAGTGTTAGGATCGTACACACATCATCATACCTGGTGCCCCTGGTATTCTTAGGAATATTCCCTCCAACCCCCTTCAAGGTTATAAATGCAAGCCTATTATAGTTCAGCTTCTAATAAGTCCTAATAGATCAGCTAGGAAATATCCAGAATATGTCTCTTACAATAGATCAGCTAGGAAATATCCAGAATATGTCTCTTACATTCTTGACGATGCAAACTGGACGCAGTGGCACAAAAGTGTGTGTGTCCAACACTTGGGAAGCAGAAGTTCAGGGTCACCGCAGCTACACAGGAGTTCAGGGCTACCTTAGGCTACCTCAGACCCCAGGCATCAACAAAATGCAGAAACAGTTCTTGGCCACTTAAGAACCAATTACAATACTTTATTTAAAAGAAGCACAGTTTATTTTTAAATGTTAAATGTCAGGGTCTAACAAACCATTCAATGCTCAGTGCTGGGCGTAGCATCACACACCTCTGCCCCTAGCGATCAGGTAGCAGAAGCAAGTGGATTCTGTGAGTTCCAGGCCAACCAGGCCAGCCGGTCTATAGAGAGAGCTCCAGGACAGTCAAGGCTACATAGAGAAACACCTCTCAGAGGAAGAGAAAGAACAGGAAAGGAAGGCACTCAGAAGGACAAACACACTTGAAAACATGAGCACAGATTTTTTAAAGAAGTCACCATATGTTTTATTTTTAAGAAGTGAAGTGATATATTTTAGTGTGCCACATGAACGTAGTTATTTAAAAGGAAGTAGACTTTAAGACAATAACAGATTTCTCAACTATTACTAGAAAATTTAAACACTATTACCCAAATCTAAACACAATATAGTTTTTTATATTCACATCAAGTGAGGAAGAGCCATTTAACCACATTTAATTCGTAAGGTCAGTTTACTGCTACCCAAATAAGATTATTCTGTGCTTTATATGGTCCAAAAAGGGGACAAAATCAGAGATAAGTTTCAAATTCTCTTTAATATAAGCAAAAAATTTGAATTTGCAAGTGAACCAATAAATGAGAAGAATTTTACATTTAGAACAATTACCTTTCTATTACTTGAAGATCCAAAATCTTATATTTTGGACATTATTACTGAAGCACTCCATCAAAAGCATTTCTAAACCAGGTGGTGGTGGCGGCGGGGACGACGGCAACGTGCGTTAATCACAGCACTTGGGAGGCAGAGAAAAAGTCACCTTTAAGTTAGAGGCCAGCCTGGTCTACAGATCCAGTTCCAGGACAACAGGGCTACACAGAGAAACCCTATCTCAAAAAGCAAAACTAAAAAGAAAAACCACTGTGGTTGGGCATGGTGACACACACCTTTAATGCCAGCACATAGGAGGCAAAAGCAAGTGGACCTCTGTGAGTTCAAGGCCAGCCTGGTCCACATGTTCCACGACTGCCAGGGCTATGTATGAGACGCACACTTTATCAAAGCCCAAATTCATAAACTCAGAAGAAAGTGGTCTCCCAAGTTAAAATATGACCACTCTGAAGTGCTTTTTCGACATAAATCCTTTTGAGAACGACTTAAGTTATAACCCTTTTCTCAGGAGAGACAGAACCCTCAGTTTTTGCATAAAATGCCAGAGGTCTAGGAATCACTAAATCCAGTCTCTTCTAGCCAGTCGATGGACCCCCAGAAAACGGCTGCATTACGGACAACCCTGAAGGCATGGAGTGCAAACTTCGCTGTGAGAACGCACTTACCACGCACTCTCTTCCACAATATCAATAGATGGAAAACATTCGTTTAGGTGCCTCAAAAAAAAATTAAAGTTACATAGGGTATTTCAAATAGTGAAAACGGTTACCTCCAAAGAATCGGTGTTGAAGCCACAGTACCATTCTCGCCAGTGTCCACGGCTCTCCGGAGATTTTGCCAGTACTATCACTGCATTGCTGACAGAAATGCTAACCGCCGGGTCTCTGGTACTCAACTTATTCTGTGGAGCAAACTGCAGAGTGAAGGAATAGCCTGAGTCCTGTGTGGAGAAGCACACTTTGTATCGGAGGGGGCTCAGGTCCCCCTGAAGACTCTGCGGCAGAATCTGAGGCACCTGAATGAGCAGGGTCAAGGAGTCTTCGTCCTGACTGCACTGCAAAGGAGGGCACGATGGTTCGATGCTCTCGGCTCCGGAGCCACCCATGGCTGAGCCCCAGGCGTCGTGGCGGGTCCCCTCCGGCTCCTCACACGCCTGGGCATTGGGGTCTCCGCACAGTCCCGGGTTTCCCGCACGGGACTCGGTGTCACAGACCGGGAACGCGGTGCAAGGGAGGCTTCGGTCCCCAGAAGGAGACCCTTCCCCGAGGTCTAGAGATGCCACCGAGTCCCCACCGAAGTCTCGCCCCGGCTTGGGAACGAGCTCCCCTTCAGCGTCTGCAGCCCCGAAGCCTGGGGCTCCCACACCGCTCCCGTCCCCGCGGTCAGCTCGGGTCTCATTCACCGAATCTTCCCGCGCCGCAGCAGCGAGGTCGCCCTCGGAAGCGCTGGCTGCGCCGTCAGATCCGGTCTCGGCCGCGGACACTTCCGGCGGCGGCGCAGCGAGGTCCCGGCGCGCGGTCGCCAGGGCCACGGGCAGCGTGACAACCAGCTGTCGCCGCGCCTTGTTGAACTGCGCCTTGCCGCGGCCGTCGTCCACCGGGTAGGGCAGCGAGAGGCGCAGCCGGTAGTCCGGGCTCCTGGAGTCCAGGCACAGCAGCTTCCCCTTCACCTCCAGGTCCGCCTTCTCGGCCGAGCGCAGCAGCGGCAGCTCGATGGTGACCACCAGCTCGTGCGGCACCGGGCTCGGGGCGGCGTCGCGCGAGCAGCGGTAATCCTGGAGGTCCACGTGGTGGCGCTGCACCACCGTGCACCGCGGCTCCGTGGGCTCCGGCCGCTGCTCCGCCCGGGGTGCCTGGGGAGCCGGGGCTGCCGGTGTGCGAGCCGTGCTCTCCGCCGCTTCGGGGTAGCGGTACGGGTACGGGTATAGCAGGTCCGGGAGAAGCCCGGGTGGCTCCCCGTCGGGCCGGGCAGGGCCGCCCCCGGGAAGGGGCGTGCGGAGCACTGCAGCCTCGGGCAGCCCCTTGTACTTGATCTTCAGGGTCTTGGCGTTCCTGCGGTCCAGCCTGACGCCGAATTGCTGCTCCACCGCCTCCAGGGCCGTGGCATCCAGCATTTCGCGGAATCGCTCGTGGCTCCGGGCCCGCGCTAAGGCGTCCGGGTGGAAGACCACGTCGTAGACCGTGTAGCGGGAGCCGCTGCGCCCCGCGTACTTGCGGCCCGGCGCCAGGCTGTAGGGCAGGGACCAGTGGCTGCCAGCTGCTGTGCCGCCGCGCCCCGGGCCCGGCCGGCTGCTGGGCGCGCCTACCAGCGAGTTACTGCACACGTTCACGAAGCAGCGGTGCTCCCCGTCCAGGCTGGTTCGCAGCACGTGCCCGGGCTCTGGGTGCACGAACCGCACCTCCACCCCGCGCTCCCGCTCCAGGGCGGTGATCTCCTCCTCATAGCGCCTGCGGTTCTCAGGGTCTGTGATCTCCGAGGCGTACTCGGAGAACATTCGGCGGAACTCTGGGTCCTGAAAGGCGGAGGTGAGCCGCTGCACCTCCTCTCCGCTCAGATCCAAGTCCTCCAGCGCCGAGGAGGCCGCCGCCTTGGCCATGGTGCCCACTCAGCCCCGGTGAAGGACCAGCCCGAACCGGAGCAGCCTAGGAAGGTAACGGCCAGGCAGCAGGCAGCGCGTGCTTCGTTGCCATAGTGACACCTAGGAGGAGGCGCCGTGACCTCGTAGAAGGGGTAGAAATAGGCTGCTGCTTAAAAACCAAGCAGCCATTCTAACTGCTGCCGGTTTTAGTCTGCTGTGCCTGGGTAATGTACTTTGCAGTCTGTCGTGACTAACTGTCCTCATTTTCAGCACTGTGTCTTTATCTTATTAACTGTTCGCTTTCACAGACAAATGAAAAGTTTCCCAGCCAAGGCTACAATCCACAAACCTTTTATCTGGCCCTTTTCACTTTGTGACACCAATATTTAAGGCCTAATTTTTGTTCTTTCCATTTTCAGGTATCCCACCTTATAATTATTCCTTAAAAACTCTTTGGGGGCAAAAGATGGACTCTTCAAAAGCAAATACCAAATAAACAAGGAAAAGTTACTTTTCATACTGTAAATATAAGGGCCCATAAATCACTTAGCAAAGTCATGGAGTTTGTCCGGATCAGTTTCCTTGGGTTGAAAATTAAAGTTGAACATCTTTTTAAAACCACATTTCCTTAGATGATTCCGTAGTTTCTGTGAGTCTGTAAGAAAGAATATAAGCTCACGAGGAATTAATGGGACAGGTGTGGGAGTAATACAATGGAATTTTATGCCACCTGACTTCATAGAAATTTTGTTATAAGGCTAGGGTCAAGAGACAGGACCTCACAGGTGTAGCATGAGCTCTGCCACTGGGCTACAGCCCCCAGGTCCAGAGTAAGGTTATGAGTTGATACCTGGCCAGCCCCGGATCAGTTTTATGTGTACAGCATTTAGTGCCGTTTACATTGGCATTATTGCAGTCACAAGATCTTTTCCAGGTTTTTTTCTCTTAACTCACACTTTTTTTGTGTATGGGAGGGAGAATATCCTGTTCTTTTAGTTGTTTCTGCACAAATATGTATTATATGTACTCAGATGGACACGGTGGCGCACAACCCTAATCCCAGCAGGGGAAGACAGATCTCTTGAGTTCAAGGCCAAACTTCAATTAAAAAAAATTAAGGTGCCTTCATGGATCTTACTTTGGGGTGAAACTGTTGACTTCAAAATTAGACCTTCATTCCGACCTGACCACTGAGCCCTTGGAGACCCACATATTAGATTTCTCCACCCGAATGTTTGATAAGCACCTCAGCATGTTCAGAACAGAGACTCTGACGCATCTCAAGCCTGAAGTCTCAGTGAATACCACCACCTCCCCAGCTTTTAGGCCTAAAACTTAAATAGAATCCTTGCCTCCTCTTTACCTATCCTCCACTGCCACTCAGCCATCCGTCCTACCTTGTCCTACTGTAGCCCCAATGTCTGCTGCTTTTCGTGTCTGTCTGAGTCACCGTGTCCATACAACCTTCTGTAATAAACTCCTCCCAGCTGCTCTCCTGCCTTTTCTTACAGTTTATCTTCACACGGTTGTTTGGTATCACTTTAAATTTATCATTGCATTTATTTGCTTGTTTACTGTGAATGCCAGTGGAGGTCAGAGGATAACTTGGGGAACTCCATTTTTCTCCTTCTACAATGTGTAATCCCCAGTAGGGGATCAAACTCAGGAGATGAGGTTCCACACACAGCAAGGGTTTAAGCTACTAAACCATGTTACGAATCCTTGCCTTGTATCTTTAAACTAAACCCATTCATATCGCTACAGTCTCTCTGATGTCTGTTCTTTTTTTTAAGATTTATTTGTTTATTTATTATGTATACAGTGTTCTGTCTGCATGTATGTCCACAGGCCAGAAGAGGGCACCAGGTCTCATTACAGATGGTTGTGAGCCACCATGTGGTTGCTGGGAATTGAACTCAGGACCTTTGGAAGAGCAGTCAGTGCTCTTAACCTCTGAGCTACCTGGTGCCCTAGCCCCTTTCCTCTGTTCTTAACTACTATGTAGTCACCATCTGTCTCCCTCGGGTTTAGCCTAATGGCAGAACACCCTGGAATCCTGAGAATTTAAATGTCAGCTTAACTCCATCACCATGCTTCTCCCACCTCCACACAGCCCATCAAAAATTGTCCTCTTTAAACTTTTTTTGCTTTCCTCATTTGAAGGTAAGCTTCATGAAACCTAGGACTCTGCTTTTCTGGTGAGGGACTGGATTCCCTGCTACCCAGAATGCACTGGCTATGCATGTAATGCGTGGATGGTTAGGCATGCCTATACAGAGGGAAGGAAAGAACAAATTTAACATGTAAAGGCTGATCCCAAAGTACTTCTGCAGGAGAAAAAACAGAGAAGAAACTGGGGTGTGTACCCAAATAGTTAACTCTTTTTTAAAGGATTTATTCTCCTGCCTTTGATCCTAGCACTCAGGAGGCAAAGGCAGGCAGATCTCTGAATGTGAGGCTAGCCTGCTCTACACATTGAGTTCCAGGACATCCAGGGCTAAACAGAGAAGTCCTATCTGAAAAAATAAAGATTTATTTTCTTTTTTATTTATGTGTGTGAGTGTCTATGTGTATATGTACACACATGTATGTGATACCCACAGAAGCCATAAGAATGTCAGAGCCTCTATCATGGGTGCTGGGAACTGAACGCTGATCCCCTGTAAGAGCAGCAAGTGCTCTTAACCATTGAGCCCTCTCTCCAGCCTCTAAAGATTACAAGATTATGTCTGATGATGAAATTGCCAGTTATAAAACATTTTTAAATTTATGTTTATTTGTATTTTCTGCTTTTGCTATGGATTTATTTGGAAGTTTTTTGGGGGATTTGTTTTGGGACAGGGTGTCACTATGTAACTCTAACTGGCCTGGAACTTGCTACATAGTCCAGCTGGATTTAGAGTCACACAATTCACTGGCCTTTGCCTCCTGAGAGCTGAGGTTAAGGGCCTGTGTCACCATCCCCAGTAGCGATCAAGTTTTTAAATACCTTCGTATTTGAGGCAGATAGGTGAGGGCAGGGAGGTCTTTAAGGCATGTGACAGGACAGTAAATGTCCTCAAGAACTGGTTACCTATTATTAAGTCACCCTTATAACTTCAAATTTCACCCAGCCCTTGGGCTTCCCTCTCCCAAACCCAGTAAGTTTTTGCTCACTGTAAATTGTTCTGTCTTTGGTATTATCACAGCAGCACAGAAAAGTGAAACACATGATTCAAAGTAAACTACATAGCTCCAGGTGTCGCTCAGTGGTACAGTGCTTGCCTAGCAGTGTCTAAGGTCCTGAGTTCAATCCTCGGTATAGCAAAACACTACACAATAAAAACCTTATGCTTTGTAAGTATAAAAACTGGGGCTGGAGAGATGGCTCAGTGGTTAAGAGCACTGGCTGGTGGTCTTCCAGAGGAGCTGAGTTCAATTCCCAGCAACCACATGGTGGCTCACAACCTTCTATGATGATATCTGATACCCTTTTCTGGCCTGCAGGCATACATGCAGGCAGAACGAATAAAAACTTAAAAAGAAAAAAAAAAACTGGGAATGACAGTTAAAATTTTCCACTGCTAAAAGGCACTTATGGATAACTATGTAGTAAATATACAATACCCCAACGCAGATTTTTCTCAACTTTGTAAGAAATTTTGTGAAGAAACAATTTAAAAACCTGTTAATATACTATTAGAGTTACTATGGTGTCAATAACCCAAGTTAGAATAAGAAGATTCACAAATTTTAAATACTTATTTTTTAAAATGAACTGAATTGTTCCTAACAGAAAAATAATGAAACAAGTACAAATTTGTAATTGCATTACATTTTAAACATATCTGCATGTTTTTTCAGACTGCAGAGAAAATACTTTATCTATAAAACTTTCTGAAGTATAACATAATATCAAATTTTCATAAAATACAACTTGTACAGAACATTCTAAGGTTTACCATAACTTTATTACAATTTAATATACATATTACACAAGATAAAAATAAGAAGTTTCATTTCATTTATTCTCCTGAGTCTCAAAAGCCCTGAAGTTTGCTGAAATAGAAAAATAAAATAAAGTATTATTACGCATTTCTTTTTTTTTTTTTTTTTTTTTTGGTTTTTCGAGACAGGGTTTCTCTGTAGCTTTGGAGGCTGTCCTGGAACTCACTTTGTAGACCAGGCTGGCCTCAAACTCACAGAGATCCACCTGCCTCTGCCTCCCGAGTGCTGGGATTAAAGGCGTGCGCCACCAACGCCCGGCTTTTTTTTTTTCTGTTTTTGTATTACTCATTTCTTAATACTTACTTAGCTGCTATATTTAAAACAGGTCCATCAATACATGCACACATTGCAAATTCAAGAGGAATCACAAATTATGTCTCACACCCAACTTGTTCTCCTAAAAGAATACATCTTTATAAAGGTAGTCTAATTTTAAAAAAAAGTCAGACTTGCTGCAAATTCCAAGTCCAGCCTGGGCTACACAGTAAGTCCCAAGCCAGCTAATACTAGCTCAAACAAAAACACAAGAAATGAAAGCTAAGTGTGATGTGACACACTTATAATTCCACCATTCCAGAGGCTGAGGTAGGACAGCAAGTTAGGTCACCTTGCGCTGTCCTCAAAAAACATGGGGACATGGGGTGGAGACATAGCTAATTGGTTAAATGCTTGTCTCGTGTGTCCAAAACCTTGAGTTCAATCAGTATAAATTGGGGGATGGAAGATGTGAATGCTTTAAAAATACGTGCTCAAAAAAGTACATATGGAGCCGGGTGTTGGTGGCACACGCCTTTAATTCCAGCACTCAGGAGGCAGAAGCAGGCAGATCTCTGTGAGTTCGAGTTCAGCTTGGTCTACAGAGAGAGTTCCAGGACAGCCTCCAAAACAATACAGAGAGACCCTGTCTCAAAAAACCAAAAAAAAAAAAAAAAAAAAAAAAAAAAAAAGTGCATATGGTGGTACATGCCTTTAATCCCAGCTACGTAATGAGAGACTGTCTTTTGTTTGTTTCTCCCTGTAGCACTGGAGCCTGTCCTGAAACTTACTCTGTGGACCAGGCTGGGCTCAAAATCACAGAGAATCCGCCTGACTCTGCTACCCGAGCGCTGAGATTAAAGGCTTGTGCCACCACTGCCTGGGAAGACTTTGTCCTTTAAAAAAAAAAAGTGGCTCAGGAGTTGGAGAGATGGCTTAGAACGCTTGATGTTCTTGTGGTAGACCAGAGTTCAGTTCCCAGCACCCACATGAGGCAGCATACAACTACTCGTAACTCCAGATCCAGGAGACCTGATGCCCTCTTTGTGATCAGTTGTTTTTTCCTAAGACCTTTGAACCCTGTCACCACACATATCTATTTGCTGCCAGTTTGGTTTGCGCAGGCTTTGAGAAACGGTCACGTGGGGGACAGGACTGACCTATGGGAAGAACAGGAAGCATCCTCAGGGGTCAACCTGTGTGGGAACCTGCCCACCTATACAGCCAGCCCAAGAAGCCACTGAGAAAGTTCATATCAACAGAAACGGACCATGCAAGAACTTAGCATGACTACTGTTCAGTCTGAAGCATTCCCAGTAGGCCACTGCAGACAGGCAAGGAAAATCTAAGCATACCTATCAAATGTGACTTTCAGCAAGAGAAAAGCAAGAGAAAGCCATGCTTACCTGTCTTCCACTGTCTTACTGGAAGGGTAAAAAACTTTGAATGCAAATCCACTTCTTGGAAAAGAGCCCTTTGGAGATAAAAATGTCCGTAAGTGACTACTTGACTTGTAAAAAGGAATCCCTATTTTTAGAATCACATTTCTTAGTCAAGATTTGAGATGACCAGATGGGACTATAAAAATAGAATAGATGTTAGCACAGTTTTTTTTAGAGGTTACTATAAAATATCACAATCTAGTAGCCTTTAAGTTGACCAGTTTTATTCCAACAAATGCTGCTGGAAATGCTTTGGTATGGCTCCAGTCAGCTTGGAAACACGTAATATTGTAAAATATTAAACATGCGTAGAAGACAGACATTGTGTTCAAGGAACCTTCCCTACCTTTCCCCTCAGTGACGTGTTGACAGGATTCCAGCGTGCCCCCAGCACCACTGAGCAAGAACTACAAGAGACTGTCTATGATGACGTCCTAATGTTACCACAAAGGCTCAAGCTTTTCAGTCTGTCTGAAGCCCTGATTCAATGCTGGGCCTACAGCAAGCGCTCAGTACTGTAAGTACCGAGATAAAGAAAAAAATGAGCTGGCAAGATGGCTCAGCAGTTAAACACATATGCTGCTCTTTAAGAGGATCCAAGTTCAATTCCCAACACCCACTTTAGACAGCTCACAACCATTTCCCCTTCAGGAGCATTCGACACCCTTGGACTCAAATGCACCGGCACTCAAATGCACATAGCCACACAAAGACACATATAACTTAAAAGTAAAATTATCTTTTTTTAAGAAAGAAAAAAGTAATCAAGAAAAAAAAAAAGAATCAGCATGTAGAGTAAAAATCACAAGTGGGGACAGGTGTGGTAGGGCACACCTTTAATCCCAGCACTCAGGAGGCAGAGGCAGACAGATCTCTGGGTTCAAGGCCAGCCTGGTCTACATAGAGTTCCAGAGCTACACAATGATACCCTGCCTCAAAGCAAACACACCACTATTAAAAACAATCTTTTGTTTGATATAAACTATGTTTATGTATTTGTGTGGTATGTATTTCCAAGTCCTAAAGTCAATCATATTTCCAGATACTGAAGCAGCTCAAACATTCTAGAGTAGTTTCAAGGTTCTATATAAAAATTAAATAATAAAATGCATCCTAATGAGATTTCATTCACCAGGCTTGAACATTTGGGAAGTTTCTATTAGTCACAATTCTCTAAAGAGAAGCAAGGTTAAGGAAATAGTTACAGGATCCAAAAGCAATTCCCAAAGAGGAATTGCAGTATGTGCCTCACTGCTTTGAAAGGAGAAATACTCATTTGATTTTATACTTTGTTGCTTGTTATTTAAAAAATTTAAGCCAGGTGGTGATGGCACATGGCTTTAGACCCAGTACTTGGGAGGTAGAGGTGGGAGGGGGGATATCTCTTAGTTCAAGCCCAGCCTGGTTTACAGCGTGAGTTCCAGGACAGCCAGGGCTACACAGAGAAACCCTGTGTGGAAAAACTAAAACAAAACAAAAAAACCTACAATACTTTATAGTTACATCACATACTGAGAATTTAGTATGTATACCAAATTTTATCAGTGTTTGATTATATATTTTATCACGATGATTTCATTCTCTATATAAATTCATAGAACTGTGCTGTAGGGTGCAAAGAGGCTCAATGGGCAAGGTGCTTGCCACCGAGCCTGACAACCTTGTCCCATTTTTGGGACCCACATGGTGGAGGGAGAGAACTGACCCTCACTGTGACATTCACCAGGACACACACACACACACACACACACACACACACACACACACACACACAGTGACACAGAAGAGGTAATTTTTAAAGTCAGAGAAAAGACAGAAGTGTGCTGTCTTCTGACCATCCATGGTATCCTTACAGGGTTTATGCAGAGGCAGTCAGTGTTGGTCACGGTGAAGGGATCGTACTTGTCTGCAATGACCAGCAGATCGGGCACGGGGTACACTCTCAAAGTGTAATCATATGTCCAGTGGACGGGACACACGTAGAGAGGCAGAGGAGTCAGATGCCCCTGAGATAAGACAGTCTTCACAAACTGCAACACACACAAAGCAGACAGCTCATCCGTGAAAGCAAGAATAGTGAAACAAGTACTTTAAATCAAGTATTGATTTCTGTGAAGACCTAGGACATTAAGAAACAAGGGATCTCCGAATCACAGGACACCAATAAACACTGCTCTTAAAATGAAATTATCACATAATCTAGGGGAAAACAACTTAAGTTTTCATTCAACACCATTTATCATAATACCGACCCTCCCTTTAGTCATTAGGAATTAACCATACATAAAATAAAATTATTTCCTAATTCAGCTCATTAAGGGAGAAAAAATAAAGAGGGGTGTGGTAATCTGTACTCCCACTAATTAGGAGGCTGAGTATTGCCATGAATTTGAGACCAGCCTGGGCTACAGTGGGAGATCTTATCTCAAAAAAATCTAAATTAATAACAATTTGATACTGTTGGACATGATAGCACATGCCTGTTGTCACTGATACAGAGGAAGCTAAGAGGATTATTTGAGACAATGAGTTTAGGTCAGCCAGAGTAACTCAGTAAGACCCAGCTCTTAAAAAAAAAAAAAGAAAAATCAGGGGCTGGAGAGATGGCCCAGTGGTTAAGAACAAACACATTGTGGCTCATCTATAATCAGATCTGATGCTCTCTTCTGCCATGCAGGCAGAACAGTGTATATATAATAAACAAGTAAATCTTTAAAAAAAGTCATGCTAATGTATAAGCCAAGAAAACATATTTATTAAGAAGAAAAACCACAACTCTAACAATTTTACAGGGCTGGCAGGATTGCTCAGTGGGTAAAGGGCTTGCCACCCACAATGCAAGCCTGGTGACCTGAGTGGGCTTCACTGCCCGTAGAAAGGCAGAAAGAGAACTGATGTCACAAAGCTGTTCTCTGGCCTCTAAATGAGAGCCACGGCATGTGCATAGTCTTCTCACCTACACCATATACACACAAAAGTACAAAGAAAACTAACACCCTCGTAGTGTAAGTCATAAGTAAGTCAGCAGCTAGTCACTCTGGGCTACACAGTAAGACTTTATCTTAAAAAGCAAAAACAAAGAAACAAACAAATAAATAGACCTTTTTATAACACAGAATGACAACTGTATATTTGGGAACTTTGAATTAACAAACACTGCATGTCCTCCTGATATGGACATACCATATGATATACATAATAAACATGAGAAATAGGAACATCTAAAAAAATACACATACTATGAAGTAAACCTAAGAGTTTCTCTTTTTTTGGGGGGGGGTGTTGAGACAGGGTTTCTCTGTGTAACAGTTCTGGCTGTCCTGGAACTCACTCTGTAGACCAGGCTAGCCTCGGACTCACAAGATCCTCCTGCCTCTGCCTCCCCAGTACTGGAATTAAAGGTGCGTGCTACCACTGCCCAGCCAAACCTAAGAGTTTTAAAGGAAAATGAGAAGCTTCAAACAAAGTCCCTGCTTGCTCTGGCCTTCCTGCTCTGTCCCTAGGTTCTTCAGTAGAAAGCTACAGCACTAACATCAGAACAGAATTCCATTACCACCTTAACCACAAGAAAACACCAAAACACAAGCAAAAAGTAAGTAGCTTAACAAAGTTCATAAAATATAACATTTAAAATAGCTCAGTAAAAGCTGGGGTGGGGTAGGGTGGCGCATGCCTTTAATCCCAGGACTCGGGAGGTAGAGGCCAGAATGGTCTACAAAGTGAGTTCTAGGACATCCAGAGTTACAAAAAGAAACTGTCTTGAAAAACTAACTAACTAACTAACTAAATAACTAAATAAATGCAAAATAGTTTAGTTAAACAAAAAGCCCACAACAGCTGAAGAGATGGCTCAGTGGTTAAACAATCATGAAGACCCAAGTTCAGATCGCAGCACCTATGTCAGACTGCTTGCTAACACCTGTAACTCAGCTCCAAGGGACCCAATGCCCTCTTCTGGCTCCCATGGGAACTGGCTCATATGTGTACATGTTATTCTCTCAGAAATACACATAAATGACGAAATTAAAAACCAAGGGCTGAGCCGGGTGGTGGTGGCACACGCCTTTAATCCCAGCACTCGGGAGGCAGAGGCAGGCGGATCTCTGTGAGTTCGAGGCCGGGCTGGACTGACAGCCTCCAAAACAATACAGAGAAACCCTGTCTCGTAAAAACCAAAAAAAAAAACAAAAACAAAAAAAACCAAGGGCTGGAGTCCTGACTCAATGGTTAGGAGCACTGTGGCTCATATGTGTACATATTATACTCTCAGAAATACACATAAATGATGAAATTAAAAACCAAGGGCTGGAGTCCTGACTCAATGGTTAGGAGCACTGTGGCGCTTGCACAGAACTAGGGTTTGATTCCCAGCACCCACATGGAGACTCACAACCCTCTGCAACGCCAGACCCAAGGGATCCAATGCCCTCTCCATAGTATCAGCCACAGACATGGCACGCATACATACATGTAAGTAAAACACCTACATACACAAATTAATAAAATATAAAACAAAAGGTAGCTTAGCAAGGAAGACTACTTACATGAGTAGGAATATCCAAATTGCTACTAGGAAAACGGACACAGTTTCTACACATTTTATTCACTAAGTCTTCACGAAAGATAATAATTTCTTGTGTACAGTACTGAATTCTGAAATAAAGCAGTAGTTGGATATTTGACTTCCTCAAGAAAAAATAATTTTAGAAGTCTTTTAACATCAGTATCCCCCCCTGTACTTCTCAACGGTCACCGCGGCAGAAATTCAAGCAGTCTACCTCATCTGTTCTCCAATTGAGTCCCTCAGCCCCCTGTGTGCACGAACTCTCGAATGCACAGAGCTATGGTTTGAATCAAGCCCTTTGGGTCTCCCATGAAAGCACTCTACCAGGCTCTTAATATGTGCCCATCACCATGCAAAAGATAAGTGAACAGAACAGAAGAAAAAGATACCAGTCTTACACTCTTTACTTCTCATGGGGGAAGAGGGCAGAGAAACTAAACAAGACATGGTAACGATGTATGCTGGAATGGAGAGAGGTCAAGAGGGGTCACACTTGGGAGGAGAGGGCTTAGGAGGCTAAGGTACTAAGACAGGATCAAAGCCGGGAAGGCTCATCAGACACACGGACCTAAGACAGCTGGAGGAGAGGCAGTGCAGGCAGGGGAAGAGGCCTAACAGCACCCTAGGCCACAGTGTGCTTGGGGCGCAGAGCCCGGTGCGAAGGAAGGAACTGGAGAGGAATCAAGGCAGAAACAGGGCGCATCATGCAGGGAGGGCATGGTTACTACTGCAAAGCTATGGGCTGTTGCTAATGGCACGAGAGACCCCATCCCTCAAGACAGGAGGGCAACATGCTAGGGTTTCTTGTGTTAAGAACAGACTACACAGAGAAGGAGTAGAAGCCCGAGACCAGTTCAGAGGCTATCGATCCAGATTAGAGAAGATGCCGGGTCATAGAGGTCAGAGGTGACCCTTGAAGGTGATAGGACTACCTCAAAAACTGTGTAAGAGAAACCTCTACAGTTATGGATTGAGCAATTGGAAAACCAAGGGCATCCCAAAGCAGAGCAGGTGACAGCTTGGGACAAGCACAGAGTGTCATTTATCTACCAGACACCCAGAAAGAGAGGACAGTGGCCATCTGGATCCACAAGGATGGGACTCATGAGAAGCCTGGGAATACTGTTGTCAACACAGAGACCATAAACTCACTATTCAGTATCTGGATATAGTTAAAACAGTTTTCAAACCTTGAGGAATCTGAAATTGATTTACTCAAGTCTCAGAAATAAATCAGAAAGATCATTTTTAAAGGAAACGAAATAAGCTCAACACAGAAGGCTAGTATTTACCTGCAAGGATTAGTGGTGAACACTGAGAACGGTACCCTCTGTCTGAATTCCTGCGTGATGCTCTCAGCAAGCGGTGGCCTATAAAAACAGTGTGACATAGGAAGTGTTTATAAATGTTACACAATTCTCTTGACTGTCAAAAAAGAAAAAAAATATGTGAACCAAGATTACCTTGGTAAGATAGAACCAAATCCAGGGTCCTCTGGACCAGGTACAAATACAAAACGGCTACTGCAGGAAAATTCAACATCAGTCATTAGAAATAACAACGTGCGACACTGCCAGGAATCAAAATGAAGTCACTGCCTTCAGCTGAGTCACAGACTAAATAGTCAAGGCTAGCTTTGAGTCTGTAATCCTCTTGCCTCAGTTTCCCCGATACCGGGGTGCCATTGTGTGTAACGACTTCTAAAAGTCTCCAATTCAAAACTATATATTGATGTGTGGTAATCAAGTGTTCTACTTTGCACTGTGGCTAGTGTGGCTGATGGACTGAATCTCACTTGCATGTGTGTGCACATGCATATGTATGTGTGCATGGCTCTGTGTCTGCTATGGCATGCACACGGAATCCAGACACATCTTGTGGGAGTTGGCTTTCTTCTTTATGGGTCTCAGGAATTGAACTCATTTACTAGGCTTGGCAAGTCCCTCCGCTCACCAAGCCATCTTGCTAGCCCACATTAATTTATGTTTACACAGGCACATGAGGCCAAGGATAACCATACTGAAGGTCCACCTCGAGGTAAGTTTGTCACCAAAAGCGACAGATGAACTTGCCACTCTCCCTTCTAAGTTTTGTTTCACTATAAATCATGCAACACACATGATGATGTGAGAATTTTATCCCGGGATGTTTTAACATTCTCAACTTCTTTCCACAGGCAATTTCTTTATAATCACTGACATAAATAAACTTCATGATTCACTAAAAAAAACTATTTTAGATTAAAAACAATAAAAGGTAGCCACAGAGAACTTTACCTTTGGTGGATACTTGGGTATTCACATATTATGTCTGCCAAAGACTTTAGGGAGTCTAAAAAATTTAAAGATACTTAATTTGTATATATCCATAATGTTACAGTTGATTAAATATAAACCTATATATCTTTAATAAAATTAAAATATCATACATAATTTATCAATATAGTTTATATAAATATAGAAGAAACACTCAATTTTTGGGGGGGGTTTCAAGACAGGTTTCTTTGTGTAGCGTTGGCTGTCTTGGAACTCACTCTGTAGACCAGGCTGGCCTCAAACCCATGGAGATGGACCTGCCTCTGCCTCCTAAATGCTGGGATTAAAGTGTGCACCACCACTACCTAGCTTAAAAACTCTCTTATATATATTGAGGGGAAAGAAGCTGTCTTATAAACATGATCCTTAATACCTTTTAAAGCCTGGACTTGATTTTTCCCATATGGTGCAGATGAAAAATTACCACACAGAATGAAGCAGGTTGGAGGTGCTGGTGAGTAACCTAGAGAATAAAAGAAGACAGCTTTTCAAGGCTGAAAAGTTCGTTTTAATTATTTCATTATTTTTTAGCAGGATCTCAATATATAGCCCCAGAATTCACAAGGGACCCACCTGCCTCTGCCTTCCAAGTGATGGGATTAAAGGTAGGCATCACCACACCTGGCTGGCTTTAACAGTGAAAGCTTGGAGGGTTTTTGTTTTCTTTTGAAAACAAGGTTGCCTATGTTGCCCACCCAGACTGATCTCTAATCATGGCTCAATCCCCCACCTCAGGCCCATGTAACAGGCCTACAGATGCACCCTACCACAACAGCATGGCAATCATTTAGTTTTAGGACACACCCCCCAGAACAGTTCGAGAGAGAATACAGAAATAGTATGTACCAGAGAACATTACGTGAAGCTTCTCCAGCACTTGTACTTGGTCCAGCCACACATCAGACACAAACACAAACATAGCATCCTTGTGCTCATCTTCCAGCTGTCTCAGTTTTGCAGAAGTCTTCACGGATGCATTAGAAGGCCCTCCAAAAAAATTAATATTTCCATAGTACGCCCTATATAATTATAACACAATTATCTCCTATAGCATGTCAGTCCACTGAGAAAGTAAAAATGTGCCAGATACAACAATCGTGCAACCCAATATTCCAGAGATGAAGTATGTTTGCCTGCAGATTATTTAAAACACACACATACATGAAAACAGGCTATAAAGGAATATCCAGTATGCACACTTCAAAAGCTGCCCTCAGCTGTGATTACCCGCAAGAGAATGTCAAGAGAGCCTCAGCAAGGCCGGGCCTACAGGCAGTCTTCACAAGAGAAGGTGGGGCCAGTAAACAGAACCTCACTGAGAGTCCAGACACTGTGCTCATGACTCACGTAATCCTGTCGCAGTTATTCTTGGGAGGTGCTAGCACATATGGGAGGCGTTAAGTTAACTGGGGAGAGTGGGGAGAACAGGCTCCATCTATGCAATTATGGGGAAGTCGTCATCCATGCTGGGATGAGACTTTTCAATAGGTCACCCACGATCCTGTAAGCTCAGTGAGGCCACTGCTTCAGCTGGTAGATGTTTGGTCTGCCACTGCTGCCCTACCAAGTCTCCTCAGGAAAGGTTACCGCAACAACACACTTCAATGTCAAGGGAGCAATTTAAGTCTCCCCTCAGTTGCTCCCTAGCGGGCCCTAGGCAGGAGCTCCCTGCACTACCCTTCTGTATGAAAAGGAGGGTGGTGCTGCCTTCCACCTCGGCTTCCCAAATGCTCAGCAACTCATTTTGTTTCATTGTTCTGTGCACCACCAAGCCACACTCCGTACATTGACAGAGATTCGGACTAGAGAATGAGAATTATTTATATAGATGATTTATACAGATAGAAAAATAATAACATCAAGTATAGGCTCATTAAATTCATTTTTCTTTTTATGTCTTTATATTCTCTTATTTTTTTAATTTATTTATTTATTATGAATACAACTTCCTGCCTCCATGTCTGTCTGCACACCAGAAGAGGGCACCAGATCTCATTACAGATGGCTGTGAGCCGCCATGTGGTTGCTGGGAATTGAACTCAGGACCTTTGGAAGAGCAGTCAGTGCTCTTAACCTCTGAGCCATCTCTCCAGCCCTATATTCTATTTTCTTTAGTTTCATTTAAAAATCTTTATTTATGAGTATTTGTGTGTATGAGAGAGAGAGAGAGAGAGAGAGAGAGAGAGAGAGAGAGAGAGAGAGAGAGAGAGAGAGAGAGAGAGAGAGTGTATACCTGTGGAGACCAAAAGAGAGCATCGGATCTCCTAGAGCTAAGACAGGTGAGTTTCCATTGCTTTTTCCATTTCAACACAAAGTCTGACACCTTGTAGTGACTGACTAAACTACGTTACATTCACTGTTGCCAGTATACAAATTCCTGTGGTATAGAAATCAAAGACTTTAATACCTTGTGGTACTAGAGGGCTCAGTGGGTGGAAACCCAAAGGCATTGACATGAAACACTTGATCTTCAAACCAACCTAAAAAAGACAATTGGTATCACTTTTATCTGTTCAGTTACACTATTTTAAAAGACAAATCCATGTCACAGAAAGCAATGAATTAAACTATAGAAGTTACCAATCTTACTGAGATATCCAACTCCAAGGCCACGGACAGTCCAAATGTTATAAGGAAAGCTACATTAAACAAGCATACCCCATCCCAATAGCCGCATCTTTTAAGGTAGGGTGGGGTGCTGGGGGGTCTCAGCACACGCTGGAGCACAGAGAGCAGCCATAAAGATGAGAAATGATTCAGTGTGTGACCCTCTATGAAGTCTACAAGAGTTTCCAGTTTTACAAGCGCGACTCACGCATCGCAGCGTGCATATCGTGGTCTTCAGTACACACTCGCTGTGCAGCTTTCTCCACTGTCTAATCTCAAGGCATTTCCACAGCCCTGAAAGCTTTCTAATAGCCTGCTTCTTAAGAGTCACCTGCTCATCATGCCACATGCTCATCGAGAATGTCCTCTGGAATTTCGTCATGAGGTGTCTTCCCCAGGCTGGAAGAGATTTACCGACCAGCAAGGGCATGACAAGGGCGCACGCACTTACCTTCGGCCAGGACAAAGCACGCCTCGGTGTATAAGCCACTGTGGAACTGGTGCAGGGCAGTTGAGGAAGAGTCCAAGACTGCGCTCGAAACAGCAATAACAGCAGCATAGAGCCTGAGCCCCACGGCTCAGTTAGCTTTGCTGTGTGGTTTTGGATTTGTGTGTGTGTGTGGATGGGGGGCATGGCTTTTTGTTCATTGCAAGGAAAGGTTGAAACATGTAGCCCAGGCTGGCCACAATGCTCCTAAAAGTCAGCTTCCAAGTGCTAGGATTATAAGTGAGCACCCACGCCTGGCCCTGAAGAGTTTTAAGTAATAAACTGCAGGCTTATCTACCTAATGGCTCAGCAGGTAAAGGCACTCACTGGCAAGACCGAGTTCAACACTCAGCACCCATAATGGAGGAGAGAACAAACCCTGGCAAGTTGTCCTGTGATGTCCATATGCACTATACATGGATACACATTACACACACGATAATAAACTGAAAACTTCATAATAATAATAATAGAGGTCATTCTTGGCATGTTACAAATTTCTTCAGCAATTTCTCCAGATTCCCCAATGAGAAAGACTTCAGTCTCTAAGAGTATGTCTGTATCCCATGTTACCACCACATAGAAGTTACACTGGAAACCCAAAGAGACAATAGTTTTATTTACTTATCTATTTATTATGCTTATAGTACTATACAGGTACTCTCCCAAGGAGATAAACTCCAAGGCCTGTAGCAGAGTTTGCTTTTTAAATTTTCAAAAATTTATTACTTAATTGTTTTATGTGTATGGGTGTTTTGCCTGCCTGCATATATACATCATATGCATTCTGAGGAGACCAGAAGAGGACAGCAGATCCGCTGGAATGGGAGTTACAGATGGTTGTGAGCTGCCATGTGGATGTTGCAAATTCAACCCACATCGTATAGCAGCAGATGCTCTTAACCGATGAGCCACCTCTTTAGCCCCTAGATTTTTTTTTAAACAGGGTCTCACTATGTAGCCCTAGCTGGCTTGGATCTCACGATGTGGACAAGGACAACAGAGACTGGCCTGCCTCTGCCTCTAAGAAACTGGGAGTCAAGGCATGTGCCACCACACCTGCCTCAGAATTTCTCTTTTGGTTTTTCAAGACAGGGTCTCTCTGTAATAGTCCTGGCTGTCCTGGAACTCACTCTGTAGACCAGGCCGGCCTCAGAGTCACAGCGATCTGCCTGCCTCTCCCTCCCAAGTGCTGGGATTAAAGGTGTGCGCCATCAAATCCAGTCGGGATTTTTTTTTTCTTTAAGGATATAGCTTTACTAAGATCCAGCTGTACTGTTCCAGTAGGATCTTCCAGGAAAAACTTCCCCTAAAACAGAATTAAATGAAATACACTCACATTTGTATAAACATGAATGCTATCACAAATAACTGAAATTCTACCTAGAGTGACAACAGGATCCACCAGAGAGAAGTGGGTCTGTAGGTGTGAGTAATACCTAGTCCACACTTTCATGTTTATTTCTTGGCAACCTCAGACTAGCCACTTACTGGAGACTCACAAGGACTAAGAACGACTGTTGCAGACCACAGGGTGACAAGGAAGGCCCTGGCTGGTTGCCATTCGGCCTTACCGGATGCCTTCAGCTAAGAGAATGACCAGCACCTCCAGGACACCAGGATGTGGTCAGCAACTTGCTCATTCAGAAAGTCAGAGTCAGTTCAAGCAGAGGTCAGGTGGGGTACACCCGGAAGCCATGCAAATTGAACACCTGGTCAGTCTTTCCCAGTAACGACGACACAGAGTGGACAGGTGAAGAGGTCAGCTCCTAAGCTTTCGGTGCAGAATGTGTTCCTGTGTTGCTTATGACAATGTACTGCCCGGCAGCACATCACCAACTCAGTCCAAAAATAAAAGGAAGCAAGTCAGTCTTAACTTACCTCTTTCAACTGGGTTATCATTCCAAGGACAATCACATCGCCAACTTTGGTTGTACTGCCCAATAAAGTTTCTATTGTTTTAAGCTAAAATAAAACAGAGTAAATCCATAATGATTAAAACAATGCTGTGTCAGAGGCCAGCCTGGACCTCATAGTGAGTTCCAGCCCAGCCCAGGCTACAAACACACAATCTTAAAGCAAAACACACACACAAAGAGGAGACATATAATTCATCCAGATGTCTACCAACGACTACAGCCTCATGACGCGCTATCATGGATAGTAAGCATTTACTGATTGCTTTTGTTTTATTGTGTTCTGTTGTTGTTTTGGTTTTTTGAGACAGTGCTTCTCTGTGTAGCCCTGGCTGTCCTGGAACTCAGTCTGTAGACCAGGCTGACCTCAAACTCAAAGATCAGCCTGCCTCTGCCTTCCAAGTGATGGAATAAAAGGTGTGTGCCACCACCACCTAGCTTGTTTTGTTGTTATATTATCCTAGCTGACCTGATGCTCCTTGTATAAAACAAGCTGGTCTTGAACTGGCAGGAAACAATCCTCCCGCCCCAGCCTCCCAAGTGCTGGGATCATAAGCATATACCACATTATTCTGTACAGGGGCAGAGGGCATCCATGCACATCCAGTATGTGGAGGTAAGAGAACAACTCGAGGGAGTCCATTCTCTCCTTCACCACAAGGCACCCAGCTCAGGTCATCAGGCTGGACAGCAAGGACCTTTACCTGATGAGCCATCTTGACAGCCTAATTTATATTTTTTCATGCTTACATACATTTGTGTGAAGCAACACAGTACAAAATACTTTTTTTAGAAGCAAACCCAGGGCTCTTAGATATGCTGCTAGGCAAGTGTTCTATCACTCAGCTCTACCCCCGGTCCTCCAAATATGTATGAAACACACTAATTTTGTAGTTTATAAAAGGAATTTCCGCTGGGCTTCTATAAATAGTCTATTTGGGTTCTGCTTGGTCTGAAGTGTTTCTTAAGTAGGTAACAAACTGTCACAGACACAGAACTGAACCAGATGACTGAAAAGAGCGACACATCGGTTAGCCACGTAAGTCTCAACTGCTTTGACAGAGAGGAGAGGAAGCATTGCTTCTGGGCTGCGAACACACAAGCCGACATCAGAAACCTAACACATGGGACCCAGACAGACTTTGGTGAGAAATGTGAGTCATGTCGGTTTCCAAGATGACACAAATTATGCTGTAATACAGTTAAGTGCAGAAACGGTCAAATACTATTAGTACTTTCTCTTGGTGTGTCATCACTGAACACCAATTCTTTTTTTTTTTTTTTGGTTTTTCGAGACAGGGTTTCTCTGTGTAGTTTTGGAGTCTGTCCTGACACTTGCTCTGTAGACCAGGCTGGCCTTGAACTCACAGAGATCCGCCTGCCTCTGCCTCCCGAGTGCTGGGATTAAAGGTGTGCGCCACCAACGCCCGGCTTGAACACCAATTCTTGTTAGCTTTTGTTTTTTTTGAAACAGTCCCATGCAGCCCAGGTTGGCTTCGAACTCATGACAGAGCTGAGGATGAACTTGAATTCTTCACTCTCCTGCCTCGAACTAAGTGCAAAGACCACAGGCCCGCATCATCACATTCTCAAACATTAGCTTTACGTCATCCAGTATTACTGTTTCAGTCTCTAGCAGACTCCTCTACCAAGGCAGAGAATCTAATGAACACTGACGGGGCTGGGCTCCTTCAAAATCCATTTAGACCCTCAGGGAAAAGGCAAGGCCCATCCCTAAGCAGGGTCCTGAGCATTAGAGGAAGAGAGAGCCGCAGACAGACTGACAGTGGCCAGGCCAAGCATACTGCTGAAACAAAAATGACAGAGCGGTTTGGGAATCATCTTCCAAACCATAAAAGTGGAAGGTGCAGAGTCCAGTTCTCCTCCATTCTAGTCTCAACTTCAAGACCCATCTGTGTTCTCACCCCCACTGTTTCTTCAGTACACTGGGGGGGTGGGGGGTACTGAAGCCAACGTTCCTTTGATACATCAAGTTTTCCTTACAGTGGACATGGCACATTTTTGTCTAGCAAGTCTATGGTGATCAAGAGAAGGGTGGGAAACAATCAGAGTTCTGACTGAGGGTAATGAAAAGCAGGGCTTGGGAGGACTAGTGCTGGTCTGGAGGCCAGAACCAGCCTACTCCAAAGATGAAGTCACTTCTACTGGAGAGGTAGAGTCCATAGCAGTAGGCATGGCCCTTAGCAGCAACAGTCATGCAGCCATGCCTACAAGCCCGTCTAACAGGTACACGAGTTTATTTTCATTTAAAATTCAGTGATTTAACCAGGCATGGTAATTCACGCCTTCAACCCCAGCATTGGGAGACAAAGGTATGTGTGTCTGGGGCCAGCCTGCCTACATAACAAGTGTCAGGCCAGTCAGGGGACATAGTGAGACCTTGTCTCAAGCAAAGATTTAAAAAAAAAATCAATGAATTAAAAGTAGCTAGCCAGGCAGGATGGCTCACTGGTGAAAAGTACTTATCACCAAGCCTAATAACATGAGTTCAGTGCCCAGGTTACACAAGGTGGAGCCAAGAACCAACTCCTACAAGTTGTCCTCAGACTTTCTCATGTGCCACACGGCACATGAGCACACACAGAAATAAGTGTGTAAAAAAGCGCAGTAATATTACACTTGTATTGAAACATACAACCCCTAAATAATGAAGTCAATGCTCAAACCTGGAATTTGCTTCCGCTTTCCTCGGGGTGCGAGCCTATCACCGGAGGAGTAAACAGCTCATGTCTGTGTGTCCTCTGTGAAAAAGAGAGATCCTTATGAATTGCAGAACTAGACATCTAAAAGAGAGATTCATTAATACACTGAAGACAAACACTGTCCCTAAGCTATTAATGTTGTCGCTTATTCTAACACATTTGAAAACCTGTATTAATATAACAGCATGCAAATGCCTAACAATTCCCCCACTGCAAACCCGGGGCCCTGTACCAGGTAGGCTACTCTACCACTGAGCTAAATCCCCATCCCCTACAGCAACTTCTAAACAAAAAGTATTTAAAAACCTGAGCTTGGAAGCAGTGAGAGAGAAAAGGCATCTGTGGTGGTTTGAAAGCAAATGGCCGCCAAAGATAATGGCACTATTGGAAGTGTGGCTCTGTTGGAGGAGGTGTGGCCTTGTTGGAGGAAGTGTGCCACTGTGGAGGCGGGTTTAGAGATCTCATATATGCTCAATGTCTCAGACCACTTCCTATTGCCTGTAAGTCGAGATAGAGATCTCTCAGCTCCCTCTCACAGCACCATGTCTGCCTGCATGCTGCCTTGCTTCCCGCCATGCCAATAATAGACTAAACTTCTGGAACTGTAAGTGAGTCACCACAATTACATGTTTTCCTTTGTAAGAGCTGCCGTGGTCATGGTGTCTCTTCACAGCCATAGAAACCCTAAGACACCACCATACAGCACAGTATTGTAAGGGCTGGCTGTACACTAGGCCAAGGAGATCATCTAACAAGACCCAAATAATAAGGAAGAAAAAGAGTGTGAGACAAGATACTTCAGCCCAAGAAACTGGAGTATCCAGAGGAAGAATGTAGTAGCATCTCACCTTGCCAGTAAATTTGTGTTAGAAGCCATACCCCCAAGGTTATGGGAAGCTCTGAATTAGTTATTTCTCTCATCCATTGCTGCAACCCAATGTCTGGCAAAAGGAAGCTTAAGGGAGGAAGGATTTTACTGGGCACGGTTGAGAACCACAGTCCACACTACCCATGAAGAAGAGCAGGGAAACACCAGGCTCGGCTGCTCAGCCTGCCTCCTTGTTTTCCCTTCCACTTGGTCCACTGGATGGAGCTGCCCACACTGGAACTGCCCTCACAAACTCACCCGATGGTATTGTCAAGCATTTCTTGATGCTTACAATCAAAATTAACCACCAGTCTCCAGCCACGCCACCACAGCACCCAACCATATCAGAATTAACTACCCTAGACAGAGCTTAGCGTGAGTGGGCACACGTGGACCGTTAGATGAGGTACGGCAACTGTTTAGGGAACTGGTCCTCTGCTCCAATCAGTTCAGCACACTTCGGGCAGGCTGCTGCCCTTGCCCCTTCTGAAGACAGACAGCACAGGCCTAAGAGATGGAAGCAGAGACATGCCTGAAAGGATGAGCAAGTGTATTAAGCTAGGCCGGCAAGAGACACATTCAAGACTTGGCCAAGGCTGCAGGAAAAGAGGGCTCTTTCTGACAGTTGCTGTGGCTACTAGTGGCCATTTTTGTAATTCGATAGGAGAACTTATTTGAAAGAGTAGTCTTTTCTGCAAAAAGGGTGCATTAGGATCTAAACCTGGCAACATGCCAGGGCCAACATGGTACCCATCTTTTGTCCCTAGTGCAGGTGGTGACAAGGTCTAACAAAAGGATAATTTAAAAAAGAAAAAAAAAAGCTGAGATACGAAAAAGACAGATGCCCCCTGATGTTGGATGAGCACCTGGACTCAGCCAGGCGTGCAACCACAGACCTCTAGTCTTCCTGTAAGACAGGCCAAACTGACACAGTCCTTCTCTGGCTTTTGTCAGTTTGAGTTTTCACGGTCTTAAAAGACAGCTTACGGAGGAATAGTTGGGGATGTGGCTAGCTGGCCAATGCTTGCTTGGCATGCACATAGCTCTGGGTTCATCCCTAGCACCACAGAAAAGTTGGCCACCATGGAACACCCCGGATCCCAGCACTCTTGAAGTAGAAACAGGAGGATCAAAAGTTCAAGGTTACCCTACACAGTGAGTTTGGAGCGAGCCCCAGAAACGTGAGACCCTCTCTGAGAAACACTCTGAAGCTGAATAAAGGCAAAAATCAAATTTATTTCCAGGAAAATAAATACAATGAAAATGTGAACAGACCTCAGCTCATCTCCTCTACGTCACAATCGAGGAACACTAAGGAAGGGCTAAGTGACAACACTGTAGACTGAACTATATGAGAGGACCTGGGAAAGCTTGTACATGCCTCTACTGTCAATACTCAAATGACTGAGGCAGGACGATCTTGAGTTAGTTTGAGGTCGACCAAGGCTACACAGACCTTAAGACCACCTCACTTACACAGCAGAATCGTATCTCAGACATGCAAACAAGACAGAGAAAGAGATTGATAGGTGTTAACATCTCGGTAAAAAGCACTGTGGTGCTGGGCAGTGGTGGCGCACGCCTTTAATCCTAGCACTTGGGAGGCAGAGGCAGGAGTCTATCTGTAAGTTCCAGGCCAGCCTGGTCTACAGAGCGAGTTCCAGGACAGCCAGAGCTACACAGAGAAACCTTGTCTCGAAAAAAGGAATCTGTGGTATGGAAAGGGGAATGAATGCACGGCAAGGCCAATTCAAGTAAGCTACACAGAAGACACAATGCTCGATGGATCTGAATAAGAAACAAACTACATCCAACTGGAGAGCAAGAAAGGCTCCTAATGGCAAGATGTTTCATGTTCATGGGCTGGCAGAATTAATATTGTGAAAATGGTTGTATTACCAAAAACAATCTGCAGATTCAATATAATCCCCATCAAAATTGCAATGGCATTCTGCATAGAAACAGCAAAAAACAAAACAAAACACAATTGTAGCTCTGAATAGCAAAAGTAATTCTGAGTAAGAATAATACTGAAGGTATCACAATGACCGAGTTCACGCTATGCTACAGAGCTACAGTAACAAAACCTACATGGCTTTGGAACAAAAACAGATATGCCAATCAATGCAACAGAATCTGGGACCCAGAAATAAACCCATGCAGCAACAGACACCTAATTTTCAAGAGGTGCCAGAAACACGTTGGAGAAATGAAGCCTCAGTGACAAATGGTGCTGGAAACTGGGTATCCACACAGAGAATGAAACCCATTCATCTCTCTCATCCTGTACAAAAGTCAGTTCACCATGGATCAAAGACCTTAATCTGAGAGCCAAGCCTTTGAAACTACTAGGGAAACAGAAAAAAAAAAAAAAAACACTTCTAAACATAGACAGAGGACACCAACAGCTCAGGTTATAATAACCAGATCTAAGAAATGGGACTGCATCAAAATAAAAGCCTTTGGCCGGGGCTTGGGAGACGGTCCAGTAAGTAAGCAGCTGCAGAAGCAAAGGGGTCTGAGTTCAGGCCCCCAGTGCCCACCTGAACAGCTCGGAGGGCTGTGCACACCTCTAATGCAATGCTGGGGAAGTGAGGAGAATAGAGACAGGGACACCACTGGGACATGCTGGCCACCACCCCGGCTGAAAAGCAGCAAGCTCCAGGCTCAGTGAGAGACACTGAACGAGAATGAGATGGAGCGACAGAGGACACTCAGTGTTCTCCTCTGGGCTCTGTACTTGAGTGCATGGGTGCACACCCTGCACATGTCCACACACACACACACACACACACACACACACACACACACACACAACACACACTGATGGGGGATGTCCTTCTGAAGTTTGTGTAGACTGTGTAAGGATTCAGGCACTATGCTGGCCTGCCCCGTCACCCAGCAGAATGCACTCAGGCAGTATCCTGATCAGTGCAGGGTTCCATTGCTACATAGTCTGCAGACTGGTGCAGAGGACCCCTGCCCACTTATTACCAACCTTCCCCTGGGGCAGACAGGACTCTTCCTGTCTCCCTCTTCTCTTCTGCCCTCTCTCTGTCTCTGTGTCTCCATGTCTCTTTACCTTATTTTCTTACCTCTTCCTCAATACAACTCTCAGTATGAGTCACGTCTATAGGTCTCAGTTTCCCATCTGCCCACCATCCATCATCCGACCAGGGACGGAGATCCTCGAGGTCCCAGAGAGGGACCAGGTACCCTGTGGTCCCAACCCACGCCCCATTATCCTCCTGCTTCAGCTTCCCATATAGCTGGGACTGCAGGCAACTAAGTCACCTCACCACTACCCTCGCTAGTTGTTTCCTGTGTAAATTTCATTTTCCCTCCCTTGTTCACAGTGTCACCATGAATTCACAGGACCATATGAAATTCCACAGTGTCCGTGGTTCTTCTACTGAACACACTATATATCTTTTACAGCACATAATCAAGTTCTGCTTTGCTTGAGGAGAATATAGGGGGTTGCAGACAAATGAGACAGGCTGGGTCTGAATCCTATCCCAATCTACACGTGACCTTTGGCAAAGTTATGAAACCTCTCTAGCCTTCAGCTTCCTCATTGGTAAAACAGGAATAATACTAGCATTCACGAATCTATTTTTGTTAGTAGACTAAATGAGGGAGATAATGCATGAAAAGCACTAAGCAATGTCTGACATCTAAATATCAGGTTTTAAGTGCTGGCTGCTCTCTTTAACATCATTATTAAAAGGGAAATGTACTCATGTCTCTCTGTGTTCTCAATAGGGTGTCAATCACAGAGACCATTAACAGTCTACAGAATAACATTTTTTGGACAGAGTTCTACTAGAAAGCCCCATAGGTTTGGAAATCACTGTGTACACCAGGCTGGCCTCAAACTTGCAGCAATCTTCCTGCTTCTGCAATCTCAAGTACTGGAACTATGGACATGAAACACCAAGCCCAGCCTTGAATGACCAACTTTAATCCACAACATCACATCCTTTAAATATCCTTGAGATTTCCCAAAGCTCTTTTTCCACCCAACTCCCAACTTACCTGGTGTAAAATAGTATATCGTTCACGATACAGTTCAGCTTTATCTCTTGCTGTTCCAAATAAGGTTGGTGCAGCCTGATCAGTCATTGACAGACTAGAGGAAAAGGAATGTCACTTAAAGTGTATGTGTCTGCATGTGTGTGTATATACATGCAATATATATAATATTAATATAATATTATACACATGCAATATGTATAGTATTAATATAAAGGTCTACCAAAAGTGAAACATAAAACCATATACTTTGTGAAAAAATATACAACTGAAATTAACTTAATCAAAAAATAAGTCCTAGTCGGCCGGTGGTGGCACACGCCTTTAATCCCAACACTCGGGAGGCAGAGGCAGGCGGATCTCTGTGAGTTCGAGGCTGGGCTGGACCGATAACCTCCAAAACAATACAGAGAAACCCTGCCTCGTAAAAACAAAAAAACAAAAAAACAAAAAAAAAAAGGTCCTAAGTTCAATTCCCAGGACCCATATGGAACCTAAAAACTAACTCCAGCTCCAAGAGATCTGGTGACTTCTTCTGAACTCCATGGACATCAGGCACACATGTGGTATAGCGCATACATTCAGGGAAAACACTCATACATGTAAAATAAGCAAATCTTAAAAAAATTTAAACCAATAAATGATACTTGGCATACTTACGGAAGAAATTTTTTTCTTTCTGAATTGTACACAAAATGTGGAATATCAAAAGCTCCAATGATATTGAAAATATGCTCTCTGAAAAACGACCCATAAAGCATAGATATTAAAATACAAGTATTATAGATCAACACTAATAATTCATATTATTAGCCCTTTGCACATATACTCTGCACATTTTCTTCAAGCCATGTGCCAATTTTTTATAGTGTCACAAATAAGAGGATAATGTTTTTTAGCTTGTACATTCTACTTTCAAAAGATAGGAAGGTCACAGGTGTGATGGTGTCCCCTCCCCATAATCCTCACACTAGGAAGGCCAGCAGTGAGACCTGTCCCAAACAAACTACCAAGCAGTAAGTTATACTTCTGATGTTCAATACTTCTGATGTTCAATTTAATTCATTCACAGCACACAGACTATTAAATAGATTGGGACAAATCATTTAGTAATCAAATTTATAATGTAGGCTATCGATTAAAATGAAACAAATAACGACGGTTTCTACCGTAGATGTATTGATCGCTAATTGTTTCCCCATGAAAAGAAGCACTTGGTAGCCCTCCCACAGGAAAATGTCAATTTTACCCACATACATAGTCTCATCAACCGACTGACTGCACTCCTGGACAGCGGCTTCCACTACAGATCGTTCGATCATATTGGATGACACTGAAAAAGAAGTTCAAAGTCAAATTTAAAACGGGGATAAAGACTCAGGCAAGGTAGCCCCCACGTAGACGTCTAGCACTTGGTAACTGGAAGCAAGAGGAGCAGGAGTTCAAGGCTATCCTGGGCTACGTGAGACCCTGAACATAGCAGTACACAGCAGTAATCAAAATACTTTTGAGGCTTACACACACACACACAAATCCCTCAATATACTTTTTTTTTTGGTTTTACGAGACAGGGTTTCTCTGTATTGTTTTGGAGGCAATATACTTATTTCTTATTAATAGTAGAGCAACTTTGAGTATCAGTCCAAGAACACAGCTAAAACAGTTTAGAAGGCAACACAAACTCAGGCCTGATCAAAAAGTGATCACACTGTTTCCAGGAAAAATACCATATGCCATTATAAACTTATATATAATGATTAATAAAAATCATGATTTCCTAAATTTTTTATTGCATAAGAGTGTTCTAACAGCCTCCAAAACAATACAGAGACCCTGTCTCAAAAAACCAAGAAAAAAAAAAAAGAGTGTTCTAAAGGAAGAGTGTGGTAGTTTGAATACAATTGGTCTCCATAATCTCATAAGGAGAGGCACTATTAGGAGGTGTGGCTTTGCTGGAGGAAGTATGTCACTATGGAGGCAGGCTTTGAGGTTTCCTATGCTCAGAATACCACCCAGTGAGTCAGACAACTTCCTGTTGCCTGCAAGATGTAGGACTCTCAGCTACTCCTCAAGCACAATGTCTGCCTACATGTCATCACATTCCACCGTGATGATAATGGACTGAAACTCTGAAACTGTAAGTGAGCCCCCTCAATTAAATGTTTCCTCATAAGAGTTGCCGTGGACATGGTGTCTTTTCACAGCATTAGAAACCTTAGCTAACACATAGTGTTTAAAATCTTGCCTTTAGAAGTGAAAAGAGAACAAATCCTCCCTTGTATCATAGATCACATGACTCCTACATCACTAAAGATGTGATGTAGAAAGAGATGAGAGGGAGCTAAGATTCCTATCCTGTGGGCAGTAGAAACATTGGGGCATCTCTCCATTTTAGGCTGGTGCCTGTGGCAGTAGATGAGGTATTTAACCCATAGAACAGGGAAATTGTGCCTCTCACTTTTCTCTTTTTCCCCCATCTAAGTATCTAACTTAATAAGACTAGTCACAGGTGTGCAGAGAGAAATTAGTGGCCATTAGGGATCAGATCAGGGTCAGCAATGTGATCCAGTAGATAAAGGCACTTGCCACAGAACTCTGATGACATGAGTTTGATCCTCAGACCCACATGGTAGGAGAGAACCCACTCCAAAGTTGTCCTCAGACCTCCACAGACATACTGTGGCATAGGTGTACACGCACACATGTAAAATAATAGTAATAATACAATTATTTAAAGGACAAGATCAAATCCTAGCTAAATATAGAAAAGAGGGTATGGTAATTCCACCTTCCCAGAGGTACCAGAAACTACAAAAGGGCCCTTGAGGAACAGAATATCCTGAGATCACAACTGAACTAACTTTTTCAGAAAAGATACTATGATGCGTATGTCTCAGAACTCTGGAATGTCTTAATAAGTGGAGCCTCAGTTTCCATTTAAATCTAAATCCGAGGACACAAAGTGACAGCAATCTAAGCATCATCAGAAATGTGACTTACAGGGTTGCTTCTCAACTGCATCGATGATCTTTTCTAGGGTCTCTTCAAGCTCTAACTCAGTGACAGACTTCAGAGCTTCAGTGAGGTACTTAGTGGCTTCGCTATTGAGAAAAAGAAAAGATGAGGCCAAGAATTTCTCAACATTCAGAAAGTGCCCATTCATTCCTCTCTTCAAATGGTTCTCATCTTGCCTACAGTTTCTGAACAAAACTTTATCCTTCTAGTCCCGGCTAATAAAGCTGCTTTTGTTGTTTTGTTTTAGGGTTGGGTTTTGTTTTTGAAATAGGGTTTCTCTGTGTAGCCCTGGAACTAGTTCTGTAGACCAGGTTGGCCTTGAACTCACAGAGATCCACCTACCTCTGCCAACCAAGAATTAAAGGCAGGAGCAACCAATGCCAGCTAATAAGTGTTTTGTGTGTTGGTGGTGGTGGCAGCAAACTTTTATTTAAATCTTATAGAACTCAAGATTTTCTTTAGTAACTTTATAAAAAGCCAACATAACTGAAGACTCAGTTCTCCCTCTAAAGCGTGAAATACCAAAGCTTTAAACATTCAAAAATAAGAAAACAATTAAAACAACAACGAATTCCTGCAAGCAGATCATGCTAAAATATCTTTAAAAAAATTTTTTTGGTTTTTACGAGACAGGGTTTCTCTGTATTGTTTTGGAGGCTATCGGTCCAGCCCGGTCTCGAACTCACAGAGATCCGCCTGCCTCTGCCTCCCGAGTGCTGGGATTAAAGGCGTGCGCCACCACTGCCCGGCTTCTTTTAAAATTTTTAAATGAGCTGGAACCCTGGGCATCTGAAATGATCCCAGCTTGACTGGAGTGTATGAGACCCAAAGATGAAACCCCAACTCAAGTTGTATCTGTATTACTGGCCCACAGAAAATGTAGGCTAACAGATGAGTGCAGTTTTAGTCTCTAAATCATGGCACAGTCTGTTACACAGCATAGATAAATTAACACACTATCTTCTCACAGTAAAGTTCCAGTCTCCTCATGGCGCTTTAAAATGCAAAGATTTGAATGTATGTCTCACGGAATCAGTCAATGAGCTCCCAACAACTTAATAATAGTTCATTTTTAGCGAAAGAAGAGCTAACTGATCAATTACTCCTCTTTTCGTTGTTTGTTTGTTTTTCGAGACAGGGTTTTTCTGTATTGTTTTGGAGGCTGTCCTGGACTTGCTCTGTAGACCAGGATGGCCTCGAACTCACAGAGATCCGCCTGCCTCTGCCTCCCGAGTGCTGGGATGAAAGGTGTGTGCCATCAACACCCGGCTAAATTACTCCTCTTTTCAAATGTCAGAGATTGACCGAACTAAATCCATCACTTTCTCCCAGGGTATACCCAGGTTGAACCTTTAATAGGCAAGACATAAAGTTAAAAGATAAAAATTGCGTGTAGAAGATCATTCAAACTGACTCATAAAAGTACACTGAGCTCAGCAGGTACTTAAAACCTATAGTGTATTATAAAATGCAAACACAATGTAATAAGCGAGCTCTTGGAGGTGTTCATTCTATGGGACTAAAAAAACACGCAATAGCCAGGAAAACTGCCTTTTGGAAATCTACACACACACACACACACACACACACACACACACACACACACACACACACACACACAAACCTAAAACCACGTTTAAAATCTATCCAGTTTTTAATTATCCAGGCAATCAAGCGAATCCTAAAAAGAGACAGGAGGGAGGCTCAGTCTGTAACATAAATCGCCCAGACCCTGAGACGGATTTAACCAGATCTCCCCTTTGACTTCTGTAACCTGCAGAAGTAATCCTGTAACGATTCGCATCCCACAGAGGCGGGGACCTCAGATGATTTGAGGTCCTCAAGCCTCGCATCTTCCGGGGCTCAGTTGGACCCCGGCGGCGCAGCTCCACCCAGCCTGGAAGTGACATCTGCACCCGGCGCCAGGGTCGCGGGCACCCGGGAGGCTCTGCAGCCTCACATGCGACAGAACGACCTCTCCTCTAACAACAGAATGTTCTAAGGGTCTCTGCACGCCCGGGGCACTGCGGCGGGGCAGGTTGCCTCGCGACTCACCCTCTGAGCAGCAAGCCGCGCAGCTTGAAAGCTGAGACAGCGCGGCTCCGCAGCCGCTCCGGCGCCATGTTCGCGATTTGGCGCCACCGCGGGGCCCCGCCCCTCCTAGGCTAGACACGCCCCTTACCCTGCCCTCGTTGCGCGCCCCGCCCCCAAATCCTTGAACTGGTGAATTGGGTTTTTGTGCCTTCACATTGCAAGGGCCCCGGTTAATCTCCAATCTTTTTTTTTTTTTTGGTTTTTCGAGACAGGGTTTCTCTGTGGCTTTGGAGGCTGTCCTGGAACTCACTTTGTAGACCAGGCTGGCCTCGAACTCACAGAGATCCACCTGCCTCTGCCTCCCAAGTGCTGGGATTAAAGGCGTTCGCCACCAACGCCCGGCCCTAATCTCCAATCTTAATCAAGAGGTAGGAACCCACCGGCGCTCCTGCCATGCCTGGGGAGTGAAGCAAGAGTGATCTAAGTAGAAACAAGCTTCCTTTATCCCAAGTGCATTTTTGAGCACTCCCCCACATTCAGCTACCTTTTCTGACTCTAGCTATGCTTTCTGCACCCAGAAGCTTCTCTTCCAAGGCTATAAAAGGTGCGGGGCAGCCCTGTTTACCGATTCTACACAAGCCCTGGGAAATGTTGTGTCTTCACTGTTTCCCCCAACAGATAGGTACTCTCTCCATCACTCCTATTCAAGCAACGTTTTAGTTGAGGGCCTCTCCACAATGCGCTGTCATTAGCAATTTAAATGAATTAATTGATGTGTTTCACACATTAATTAGCAGTGTCCCACTTTTTCCACCACAGCCTTTTTTTTATAGATGCAGAAACAAACCAATTATAAATGAATGGCTTGAGGTGAACCATCCAACAAGTAGACTCAGTAGGCCACATTTTAAAATGTGTGCTCTTGCTGAGTTCAGTAACCCATGCCTTTAATCCCAGGACGCAGACAGCAGAGGCAGGCAGATCTCTGTGGGTACTAGGGCGACTTGTTCTTCATAGTGAGTTCCAGGACAGTTAATGATACACAGTGAAACCCTATATAAAAATAAATAAGTAAATAGTAAATTGCTTCTTATTCCGGTGATATGAATAAACCACGAAGTGCTTATAAGTGAGCATACAATTTTATGGGCCCCAAGGAAGCACTGGGCATGATGTCACAGGTCTGTAATCCCAGCACTCAGCAGGGGGAGATACAAGGATCAAGAGTTAAAGCCAACTTCAATATCACAGCAAATTCACAGCAAGCCTGGGATACATTAGTGGGAGGAGGGAGGCAAATAAGAAAAAAGCATGAAAATGATCTCCAAGTAGGTATATGCAATTAGCTCTGGGGCATATAGTTAAGATCTTTTAAAATAGCAAAATAGCAAAACGTATATGGAGATATGCTTGATTTTTGCATTTTAAAACTTTTAGCCAGGTGGTGACACATGCCTCTAATGCCAGGGAGGCAGAGGCAGGAGGATCTCTGTGAGTTGAGGCCAGCCTGGACTACAGAACTAGTCTCAGGACAGCCCAGGCTACACAGATAAACCCTGCCTTGAAAAACAAAAGAACAAAGACAAAAATAAAACAACAACAACAACAAAAACTTTTGGAAATTTAAACTAGACAAAAAGTGAGAGCTCCCAACTGTGGCTCTTTGAATGAGAAACCACCATGGGTTTAGACATCTGAGCACTGGGTTGGTGGCGCTGTTGGGGTGGGCCCTGTGGTGCAGCCTTGCTGAAGGAGACATAACCCTAGGCTTTGAGACCATGTAACGTCACCTGGCTCTCTTTCTCTTTGAGCTTGCATTTGAAGATGGAAGCCCTTAGCTTCCTGTTTCTGCCATTGTTGCCATGCCATCTTGCTGTGACTCCGGGTATAAAAGTGGTTGCTTTGCAAGCCTGAGGACCTGAGTTCTAATCCAAAGAGCCTACATAAATCCACAAGTGGTGGTAAGAGCCAGTAATCCCAGCATCCCTGCAGCCAAATAGAAGGTGGAGAGACAGTAGGCTTTCTGGACACTCATGGGCCAGCAACAGTGAACAACTAAGAGACCTTGTCTAAAATGAGGTGAGAGACAAGGACAGACACTCCAGTTTGTCTTCCGACCTCCACATGCTGTGGTGGCACACACACACACACACACACACACACACACACATACACATACACACACACACATACACACACACACCACACCACACACACACACACACACACACACACACAAATTAAAAGGATTGACGTGAAGTGGCAATTATGTCCCCACCAGGATTATGCTATATGCAGTTCTTCCTGGGGTGAATGTATTACTGGGGCACACCCTGCCTGCCAGCATTGCAGAGTTTTACTGAGAGTGCGAACTGTAAAGGCAGTCGTATGTGGTTGGGTGGGACAGGAGCCTGTAAAGTTACCTAACTTGATTAAGTCTATGAATATCAAACAGTACAGACTGCCCAGGGGTTATGATGAAATCACAGAAACCTTTAAGAAGTTGGACTGGGCTAGGCAGGGGTGGCGCACGCCTTTAATCCCAGCACTTGGGAGACAGAGGCAGGTGGATCTCAGTGGGTTGGAGGCCAGCCTGGACTACAAATTGAGTTCCAGGACAGCCAGGACTGTTACACAGAGAAACCCTGTCTCAAAGAAACAAACAAAACAGCAACAAAAATCAAACAAGCAACAGAGAAGTTAAACAGGGTAGAGATCGTTGCCCTTTCAGCAGTCAGAGGGAGGCTGTGAAAAGGCAGGATGGCCCCTGGAAAGTGGGAGTGGCTTACAGAGAGCTGGATGCAGCAGTGATCATTGTACCCCGTATCACTCTTTTCACAGAACACTTAATACAAACCATGGGATCTACATATTGTACTTGACCTTGCTAAGTGCCTTCTCAGAGGTCCTTTGCCATGTAGATCCTAAGACCAACTCACATTCACTGGTAGAAAGGACATTTCACCTTCAGATGCCCCCAACAAGGTTTCCATCAGAGCCACCCCAGGAAGAGTAAAGACAGATTACCAAAGTACAGAGATATGTGATGGTGACCCCAGGACCTTGCTTTATTCCTGCCTATTTTCACTAAAAAGGTTTTATTATGCAGATGAAGTGATGCAAATCCGAGTATTTCTCAGATTTAGAAAAGCATCTGAGGGGCTGGGGGTTGGCTTAGCTGATAAAGTGCCTGACACATAAACCTGAAGACCTGAGTTCAGATCTCTGGTATCCACATAAATGTAGGGCACGGGGCCAGGTGTTGGTGGTAAAAGCCTTTAATCCCAGTATGAGGAGGCAAAGGCAGGCTGATCTCTGAGTTCAAGGCCAGCCTGGTCTAAAGCGCAAGTTCCAGGACAGCCAGGGACACACCGAGAAATCCTGTCTTGGAAGAAAAAAAAAAGTGGGCATGGAGGCATGTCTGTAGGTTTAGCACTGGGAGTGGGGCAGTGAATGACGGATTCCCAGAACTTCCTGGTCAGTCAATCCAGCCAATTGATGAGCTCTGGGCACAGTGAGAGACTCTGTCTCAAAAAATGGGGGCAAGGCAATAAAGAAAGACACTCAACATCAACAACTACACACACACACACACATGCACTCACACATGCCTATTTGCCCATACACACTATATGTATACAGAGTTTTAAAAAGTAATAATAAAGAGAACATCTGAAAGAAAGACCAGGTGCACCTAAAAATGAGGATGAGTCTGGTGGGCCACACCTTTAATCCCAGCACTTGGGAGGCAGAGGCAGATAAATCTCTTGAGCAGGAGGCCAACCTGGACTATATAACGAGTTTCAGGATAGCCAGAGGTACATAACAGAGAGACCCTGTTTCAAAAACCAATAAAATGAGGATGGGAGATCATTCCACCTTAGGGGCAGTGGGCAGGCACAGTTATAAAATTCTTAGGAGTATTATGGCCTGATAAGAAATATATGACCCCAGACAAAGCTATTAAGAAAATTATAAGTAGCCAGGACCTGTGAATATAAAACAGTGCAGGTATTTGCAGAGCTCCTAGGCCACTGATATTTTTCTTTATGGGTTTTCAAGACAGGGTTTCTCTGTGTAGCCTGGAACTCGTTCTGTAGATGAGGCTGGCCTCCCAAGTGCTGGGATGAAAGGTGTGTGCCACCACTGCCTAGTCCATTGATATATTTGCGTACCCCACTTCATCCAAGTTACCCATCCTTTTAACAACATGATGAAAGGGAGAGGGGCGCCCTATGGGGCTGGACTAGAGAGGCTCAATAAGTTTTGATCAGGCTAAGATCCTTGTAAAACAAGCTAAATAGGCATGTGCTCCATTACGTCAGTGTTCTTCATGTTAGAAGTTGCCGGAAGTTCAGAGGGTGATAGCTGGAAATTATGGCAAAACAAACCTGGTTAGTGAGCAACAGAGCCAATGGGTTTTGATCCTGGTTATGGGAAGGGGGGAAACTGGCCTATATTCCTTGGATACAATTGCTAGCTGTTTTTAAAAGCATTGCAACAGATGAACTCCATGACAGGTACCTCAGTAATGGAAAGGACAGATTGCCAGACCTCAGGTTGGATTGAAGGCCTCCCAGGTTTCTTTGGCAGTGGGAGCAGGGAGGGGGCCAGAATCAGACTCTGCAAAAGTGGTATGCATAGTCACAACAATGATGTGTAGTGTCTGCCAGCCCTGCCATGAATGCCATGAGGCTGTGCTGGGGCCAGTGTCCTTTCAAGCCAGTGGACCTCTTCCAGTAACTGGACCAACAGCCAAGCCAGGAAGGGAAACCTTCCACATCCCTGTCAATGCCTGGCACACCAATTGTGGGGTAACTAAGCCCCAATGGGCCAGCTCA